ATAAAACCCCATAGGTAGAAAAACACCGAACAACCAACCGACTCATAAATGCTAGTATTAAAAGCTTCATCAGATCATAGTAATTGTCTTGGAAGTCGCCTCAGCCACACCGTTTTTTGACTGATTTTTATTGTTATCTTTTTGCATCACAAGTTTAATTTGTTCGTGTTTGCTCTCACTTTTCCCTTGTTTTATTTAGTTTTACCGTTTTGCTGTCGTAATCATAAATTAATAAGGAAAATTAAGTCATTAAAATCCCAAGACCAGAGACAAAAATTTACCTTCTCAGAAAGAGCATCTTGAACGACAATAATGTCACTTGTAATTGCAGATATGACTTCTCCAGTTGAAGCTTCGGTGTCGAATAAACTTATATCCTGATTTAGCATAGACTTTAGATATGCCATCCTCATTTTTGCTGCCTGTCGCTCTCCGGTATGCATCCAACAAGCCACCTCTAAAATTCATATTCAAGTTGTACATATATTTATATGGTAAATATATATCATCAAATTTCTAATCAAAATTTAAATTTTGATTAATTGATCAAGGAAGTTTTCTCGTGAGGCAGAGTCATTAATTGTCACTTACCTATCCATGAGGAAAATAAAATAGCAACACTGAGATATACAAAATCCAATGAGTACTGCAAAAAAACGAATGCAAGAAAGAGATTTAGTTTGTGTGTTATAGATTGACTTAAAAAGATCAAATAATCAAAGTTTGATCAAACAAAAAATAACCCTTTGTCGGAAATTCCGGAAGACGTTTCCATACCTTTGCAACTTTGTGAGAAGCTTCTTTGGGGAAGAGGTAAGCCATCCCAATAATGTTTATCAGTTTTCCAAAGAAAATGAAGAAAACAGGCACAGAAGCACCATGCACGCATGCACCAAAGGATCCCAAAGCCATGAGCACATAGTCGTAAAAGTCAGCAAATGAAAACAGCTTCAACAATGGAACTTTTAGTTGCTTCTTTCCTTCTTTCTTCTTCTTTGTATCGTCATTATCTTGGTTACCGGATAATGAACCCGGAGATGTCATTTTGGCCTGAAATACCGCCAAAAAAAAACAAAGAAACAAAAAACGAGACCAAGGAGAAACTGTATTAATACAAAGCTTATGTCTTGACACCAACAAAAAAGAAAAGAGTAATACAGAAGTTGTAGAGAAGGTTGAGGGAAGTGAAGAAGAGAAGAAAAAAGAAAGGGATAGACGTCGGAAGCTAGTTAGAGGAGCTGTGAAGTAGATGGGACCTTTTATTGCAATCTTAAACAAGCTGTAAAATTCTGTTAAAGTGATTTTTTTTTTTTTTTTGTGTGTGACCAGAATTTTACAGCTTTAACAGAATTTCATCATTATAAAAAAAATCATTCTTAACAGTTGAAGTAATGATGAAACAAATTAATATTAAAGCTAAGCTGTAACCAGAGAGGGGTAGAGTTAATTCTCTTGAGAATTGAGATATTGGAGATGGGTTTATATATATATATATATATATTGATATTTTGATGGGTAACTAGTAAGTTAAGTGTCTTTCTTTCAAAATATATTCTCTTTCTAAAATAAATTTGGCATTTGGTGTTAGTTGGATATGGAGTTATTTGCTTTTAGTATGATTTAATGCCCACGTAAACCTTAGTTGCATCAATTTTTCAATCTATGGAAAATTTTTTTCTTTTATCTTTTAAGGGGGCAGAGCCCTACAACAAAGGAAACGGAGGAAGCAGGAATCAAACCCCAACTTGGTATTTTTTTAAAGTTTATTTGACCACTAAATCAAAAAGCTGAAGACAATCTATGAAAATTGATAGTTTAATAATATCAACTATAATTAATTAATTATAATTTGAAATTATATGATATTTATTAAAATTTTATATAAAATTTATACTTATTAATCATGAATCCGTACATAATTTTAAATGTAATTAAATAATTATAAAATTATAGTAAAAAAATTATAAATGAAATGCTCTCAAATAATTGTTGTCCAATCCTCAATTCCTTTTCATTTTCGCCTAAAAATTTTATATTAGCTTTTTCCCTACACTTTCAATTCACCAATCCGAACAGATGATTCTTAATATTCTTTAGCTTCAATTTTTTTTTCCCCACGAGTTACTATGAATCTTGATTCAATCGGATCTTATATCTTGAGGAATTGTACAAGTGCATGAAGCATTCCAGGACAATAATTGAGCTAAACAAACTCTCAAGATTAGCCTCTTTTAAGCATATATTTCACTTATAAGGAAAACCTTTTGCATCAAATCCTTGGAGGCTTTGACCCTACAAATATACCTAAAAGAAACTGCAAAATGAAATTTGAAAAAAATGTTTTTAATGGATTTAAGTAAAACGTACAAGTTATGCATGTGTTTTTTAATTTGTCGAAGAAACAGACAAAAAGCACGTGTTTTTCAATCAAGCCGCATGAAAATGAATAAAAATGGTCATATCAACCGTTATACCGGCAAAGTTTTGAATTTATCAGGCATGATTGTAATATATGAAAGCTCCAATATAACTGAAATATAACATAATTTCTTACCAGTTTTTAGAGGTGAAGGATCGAATATAGTTAATTAGAAAAGAGGCTAACAAGAAAAAATTATTATTGTATATATCAAAATTACTTTCGATAAGTTCTCCGCCTATTAATTTAGTGATTAAGGAGATTTTATGAAAATATAAAAATATTAATTTCGAGTCAAAATCTTTTTTTTTTCTTATAAGAATTATGTTTTTTCCTGAAAAAAAAAAAAAAACTCTTGATAAAATCTTGAGACAATTATATATTCTGATTAATATATGTTGAATTTTCTTTCATTGTGGACCTTTGGCATATGCTATCACAATATAAAAAAAAAAAAAATACTAATTAATAATGACTCCGATTAGGCTTCCTTTAATTGTTAACATGCGCTAATTGACCACTTTGACGTGGATTTCTACCCAACTATGACAAAAACCATTTATTTGCATTTATTTCAATTTGGTTTTCATAAAATAACACAACTATATAATATAACTATTTAATGTGACTTGTATTATAAATTTGCCTACACAATTATGCGTTGATCAAGCAAATTAGAATATAAATTTGTATGAACAAAAATATTTTATATTAAACTCAAATTTTAATTAAATTGATTCATATAATTATTTTTAAAAAGTAACATCTCGTAAATTTTATATTGAATTCAACACCTACAATCTATTTGCTTATTCTCACACTACAAACTCTCTTATAAAAGGAGACTAATATTGCATGCCGAAAGCAAAAACCATGGTGGTTAATTTAATTTGTAATTCATGATTCATCAAATAATGTGGAGGTAAATTAGACAAAATTGTCATGAAAGTGACAATTGAGTAATGCCAAAAAAATGTGATTACGTTTGGGTTAGACCTTTTCGAATTATGTGGGATATAGCATTATCGTTGTTTATTTTAGGGGGAATTTAAAACTCCTAAAGCCAAAAAAAAAAAAAAAAAAAGAGAAATTATCTTTAGGGAAGAAACTCTAAGATTATACCGCCACGTGAAGATAATAAATTGCCAATATTAATCATTAATATTAAGCACATATATAGGTGAAAACAGTTGAGAAGTGGAGAGTTAGACAATGAGGTCACATTGTTACATGGATCTCAATTAATAAAGCTAAATTTAATAGAAATAAAGTCCATGTTTCTTAAATGCTTGGTGGGCTGTTCATCAATGGCTGCAACCTTACTCATTCCCTTCACTTTGTTTGACTCAAGATCTGGTTCTTAGGGTTAAGATTTTATATAAGATAGGGGCCGCCCACCCATTATTGCTATACTATGGTGAAGATAAAATGCTTAAACGATAAGGGGGAAAAAATAAAGGAAATGGGCCAATGAAAGCTGGTGCGTATACAATTACTTCTAGGTTATAATAAGAGTGAATTTAATGTGATTATGCAGTTTTTCTTAAGGCCAGGCCAGTGTTAATGAAAATTTAACTCGGCCACTTGAGATGTTGGGGGCATGTATGAGTTGCAAGTCATATTGTTTTTGTTGCTTTTCATTTAGTAGTATTAAAATGGAAGAAGCAATGTTACTAGGGTTGTTTAATTTCGAAAGCAATGGATATATATAGAATAACTTAACGATATCGATGGTTGCAGAAGGAGATGGTCAAAATGGATAGGAAATAGTGGTGGGATGATGACGAATGAGTGCAGGAAATGCTGTTTGTGAGGGTTGAATTTCAGTCATAATTTGGTAAAGGACAGTTGATGGTTCATGCTATCAATTAATGTCGCCAATGTCATCGATCTACCATGTAAACGTAAGTGAAATTAAGGGTTTTTTTATTTATAGTTTTTCATGTCTGATCAAAGTGCAGTGTCATGCCAGAGAAAATTCATGAACATGGTTTGACAATTGAGGACTTCTAATTTATTGAACTATGATCTCCAACCCAATAACCTCCATAATAGAATCTCATCAAATTTGTTCGTACAGAAAATGTATAGGGCAGCGATCTTGTTTTGCTAGGGACAGAATGACATGGGAAAAGAGTGTAGATGGAATAGAAAAGTATGGTGTTTGGGCCAGGCTATGGGACAATGGAGCTTTTTGAGATTATTCATTCTTTAGGGCAGCTCATCCGAGCTGGTGAGGAGGTTCAATGGCAATTCAGTTGACAAGCAATGCTTATCTCTCTGGTCTAGCCATGTTGTCTTTTTTGGAAGCAGGACAATTTACACTACTAATCTCTTTCGAAAGTAATACAAAAAGAAGTCAGTACATACTTTTTTGGATAATTCCAAATTTAGTTTTGTTATCTATACTAGAAAACAGGAAATCCCTGCTACAAGAAAGCAACAAAACAATACAAGAGATTAACTCAATATATAATTTTGATTGTCAATTTGTTTTCTTTTTTTTCACTTTATTTTATTTTCTTTCCACTTTTTCTGTCAAATAAAAAAATTAAAAAAAAAAAAAAAAAAAACTCTGCCAACATGTAGTTTGTTTATTGAGTGAGGAATTCTTTGTTCGAGATTCTCGAGTCCATTCTTAACAATGGATAAAGCTCAGACCAGTGGCATAGGAAACTGGCCCAGCTTTGAGCTTAGGCCACAGCTGTGTCCACGAAGAACTAGCCTATGTAGGGGAGCCTTGCCTTCAGATGGCAGCTAGCATTGGGCCGATACTTGAGAGAATCAGTTTGACAATTACATCAAGGACAAAAATTCATGGTTCAGACGACATAAGAATCGGAAAAACACACACCCACACAGACACAAGAGAAGAATATATCTACTCACAATAGAAGCTCAATTACAATGCAACAGGTATTGGAAAAAATTCATCATTTATGTGACAGATAGGCACAGACCAGAAGCTCCATACTTCATGCTCTACTAGAAAATTCTACTATCCCAAGATTTGAAAATCTTACTAACTGAAAAATCCAACGTGCACTTTGTTATGACCTCTTGTAGGATGACATAAGACTGAAGCTTATCACTCTCAGTCAATAATCACTCGGTGAGAAGCCTGGGGAGTGCTCTTTACCGCCTGTTCGGAAGCATTGGCTAGACCCTGCAGCATTCTCAAAATCTCAGCTCTGTCTTCAACATAGTACTTGGCCTTGCTAGGTTTCTGCCCTACAGAGCAAGGAAACACCTCAGCAACTGGGGAGAGAGAGGGACCCGTCCTTGCTCGCATGATCACCTCGAACATGTCCTCATCTGACCGGTCATCCCCAATACAAAGAACAAAATCTGGAAGCTTTCCTTTTCGTTGCATTGTCATGAGAAGATGTTCAGCAACAAGACCCTTGTTCACACCCTGCAAATTTAACAGAATGAAGCAATTAGAAATTGGAGCACAGGATTCTTTCTTTATGCTATCAACCACTATGTGCAGACAACATGTGGCTACGGCAGTTGGCACATCTTCTATGCCGCTCAAGAAGGCGATAAAAAGTTTTGAAGCTGACTCACAAGAGCCAGTAAACGAAGATTTATATAATTGATTTTCAAAGTCATGTCTAACTCAAGTTAAGATAATTGTAAGTAAAAAAAAAGATAATAATAAGTTTTTTTTCCTTTTTTATTAATGCACATGGTTGGAAATGTCTTACATTGGTTGTGTAAATAAACTCACTTTTACCAAAGAATATGTGACCATCAGATTGTATACAGAAATTCTGCTAAAATTCTGTTCACTAGAAGTTTTCACCAAATTGAATAACTCTGGCCTGTCCTGTTCTGCTAACTCATGCAATAAGGTAATTCATATAAAATGAAGAGGTAAGAATAATGATAGAGACCGGTACCCCATTGAACATGCACTACTAACCTGAGGTTTAACTTCTACAATGTGCTGGCCGCTCTTAACAGAAACTGGCTCATTAGCAAGAACACTTTCAAGGTGATCTAAAAGCTCCTTAGCCTGGCAAAATCCAAAATCAGGATCAGCATACAGGTAATTCCAGACAAGAGCACTCTCTTTAGTCTCAATGGCAGAACCATCTGTTGTTTCAGTGTATAATTTCATCACGGGCTCAGCAATCTGCTTCCAATCAAAGTCCGGCACAGAGATACAAGTTTCCCAATCTGCGTCACGATTTGGCCTGGGGAAAAATATTAAGAAAGGGATAAATATAAGTTAACAACAATTAGATCCTCTTCTAAGCATTATTTTTTCAACAGTTACAGACAAAGAATAGTGCCTGAGGGCTGTCAACTGATACTAGTTTTTCTCCTTTCAAGTAAAACTATAAGCATTGGTGATAAGTCCTATCAGTTCGTTAAGCAAAACCAACAGAACCCTCAACTATGTTCTATTTAGCAGCTAAATAATTAATACAAAGAAAAGACATGCTCTTTTATACTTCAATAAAAGCTAAACCAAGCTCAAATAGTAGGTAACAAGTAGGAACTAAATCTAATTCTATATTAGCAATGGGCACAATTGCCAGCTGTGAGAAATGCTGCTGGGCTCAATTTGTGACAGGTAGCCTACGCAATACCTAGATTAGCGGTTATTTCTGAAAGAAAAACTATAAGTATATAGTTAACAACCAAAAATGGAGCTAGGCAGGGATTTGTGGGAATTACATCCACTAAAAAGCCCCAGACATTCCCTTTCAACTACTTAGTGGAATAGAGGATAATATTACATTTTGATTAAGTTGGCATTTCAAATTGAACAAGAAATGCTTAATTTTACTTGCCCAAAATAATTGTAAAAAGCTAATTGCTAATTGCTCATTGATACCTTCCTTAACCCCCCTGGCCCCCCTCTCTCTCCTTCTCGTTCTACTTTAACATGTAGGTATTTACAAAATCAAGTTGGCAAATTGAAGCATCCATGAAAAGATCAAAGTTCAGAGATAGAAAAGAAAAAAGAAACACACCTGATAAAATAACCATTCTCTGCAGCAATCCCAAGCTTTTCACAACAGGAAAACCATTCAGTTAGAGTCTTTCTATCTTTTCCACTAACAAGGAAAACAAAATTCTTGGGATCTTTGCACAGATTGTTCAAAATTCCAACAGCCTCTATATTGGGAGTAGTACTTAATGAATCATTTGGCATCAAGGTGCCATCATAATCCAGAAGAATTGCTCGGTTTTTGGTTCTCTTGTAAGCTGAAACAATATGCTCAACAGAAAGCTTCCTAAAATTTGGATCCAAAGCTATTACCCGGAACCCTAAACCAAAACCAATTCCCCAGCACCTCCTCCTCAAATGATCCCCACATGCCCTCTCAAGATCCTGCAAAAAGCTGCGTGCCCAATACGCAACATCATGCGTGAGTACATACCTGTAGTGCTTCTCATGGCGCAATTGCTTTTCTGCCTCAGAGACAACTAGTGCAGAATCCATAGCCTCAGCCACAGCATCAATGTTCCATGGATTTACTCGAATTGCCCCACTAAGGGATGGTGAGCATCCAATAAATTCAGAAACAACCAGCATGCTCTTTTTTGGTGCCAATGGATTTAGCCCCAGGGTCTCATCTAGCTTTTCATTTCCTTGTCGGCATATAATATACTCATATGGTATAAGATTCATCCCATCCCTCACTGCTGTAACCAGACAACACTCAGCAATAACATAATAAGCAAGTCGCTCATAAAACTGGAGTGGGGTATCAATCAAAACCACCGGATCATATCCTGGTCTTCCAAACATATTATTAATCCTCTTCACTGTAGCATAAGTTTCAGACTGGACCTCCTGTACATCTCTTCCTCGGCCTCTGGCAGGATTTGCAATTTGAACCAAAACAACTTCACCTGTATTCTCAGGATGTTGTATGAGCAATTGTTCCATAGCCAAAAGCTTGAGGCTGATTCCCTTAAAGATGTCCATGTCATCAACCCCAAGCACAACAGTTTGACCCCTAAATTGATTGCGTAACTCAGCCACTTTAGCTTCAGTCTCAGGAAGATTCAGCACAGATTGGAGTTGTCCTATATGAATCCCAACTGGAAGGATTTTAATGCTCACTGTGCGACCATAATATTCAAGTCCTATGTAGCCACGCTTTGATTGATAAGAAAGACCAAGCATTCTGCTACAACACGAGAGGAAGTGCCTGGCGTAATCAAAAGTATGAAACCCAATGAGGTCAGAGTTGAGTAATGCTCTTAGAAGCTCATCTCTTACAGGAAGTGTTCTATATATTTCAGATGATGGAAATGGGCTATGGAGGAAGAACCCAAGCTTCACTCTATTAAACCTCTTCCTCAAAAATGTCGGTAAAACCATCAAATGATAGTCATGAACCCACACATAATCATCATCAGGGCTTATCACTTCCATCACTTTGTCAGCAAAAATCTTGTTCACAGAAACATAAGCTTGCCAAAGGGAGCGATCAAACCGACCACCAAGATCTGGTGATAGAGGAAGCATGTAGTGAAATAAAGGCCACAGATGTTGTTTACAGAATCCATGATAGAACTTACTTAAAAGCTCAGGAGGGAGGAACGCAGGGACACATTTGAAAGTTTCAAGCAATGTTTGGGCCACATCATCTTGTTCGTTAGGAGCAACCTCCTCTTTAAGACAACCGACATAGATTACTTCTACATCTTCTCCAAGGCCATCTTTGAGTTGCAAAAGAAGTGAATCTTCATCCCAGCTGAAGGACCACTCTCCATCATCAGCATTTCGATGTGCTCGGAGCGGAAGCTGGTTTCCCACAATAATCATCCGTTCTTGAGAAATAGAAGGAGCATCAGAGCCAACACTGTTGCAGTTATCATCATCTACCTCAGACAAGAGTCCAGGGACAGTAGCCACTCGAGGAAACCTCTTTCTCTCTCGCCCAAAATTTGGGGAATCACCAGAAGCAAGGTCCAAGAGGTTAGAATAAGACCTCGAAACCATGACAAAAAATGATAAAAAACCCTTGTTGTCTCTGATAATTGCAGACGACCAAGTTGATCCTCTTTCTGTAACTAGTTGAAAGAAGTCTACAAAGAAAAAACACAGCACAACAAAATACAATCAGAAGGAATAATGGAAAACATACACATGATTAATTCATCCTTGTACAACCTTCAATCAGCCTACCAGATGCAACATGCATGAAGCATTCAACAAAAACCAGTTTAAGATTCCATTGAAGACAGCAGTTATGAAAGCTAGAAGTGGCATATAATTCTCAAAATATGGTTATACCACATAAGTTTCAAGTTTGAGAAGACATCACTATGAAGGGCTTTGGGACTCTCCTAAAGGAAAAAGCATCTTACAAATTACAATCGACACTGTTTTGAAGTGAACCCCCAAAAAGAACCAAGACATCAAGGTACCTATTAACAGATTAGATATTCCAAAAACTAAATCAGGCAAGTTTTTGATCTACTAGTAACAAATTTACCTCTAGATTCTAATCAGCGTCAAACCCAGATACCCAACTAACACATAGCTAGGCTGATCAAAACAAGTAGTTGAAAAATATCAGAATGTATAATCAACCCATCTTCAAATCCATAAAAATTAAAACTTTATACAAAGAGAAGATAAGAAAGAAGCAACTTAGGCAGTGAAAAAATGCAATGATAAAAAGAACCAAGTAAGTGGGAAGTCAAGTAAAAAGTAGAGCAGATAGTGGCATGCAATAAGAAGCTAGACCAAGAAAGAAAGGGAGAAAAAAAAAACATTATTGCAGTGAAGAAGATAAGAAGAAAGAACTTACCTTTGAAGGTTATGAGAAAGAAAAACAAAAAAAAGAGAATGAACTAAGATAGCAACAAAAGATTCTCTCCCTCCTCTTCCTTTCTCTTTGTGACTATGGCAGGTAGTAGCCTATCTCAAATAATGGAACTTTTGCTTTGTTTTTAGTTAATGCGAATTCTCATTTGTTGGGATTTTTCTTCTCTCTTTTATTATGTGTGAAACAATAAATGGGACGTCTTTGTTCAAAGCATTTGATTCTTATTTCTCTCGCTTTCGTAAAGCGTTAGCCGTTGAACGAGTGCAATGCTATTGTGGTTGAGTGATGAGTGATGAGTGATAGCAAGAGCAATACAAAAACAGTGAAACCGAAACCCAACGCCAACACCGTTCTCTTTAACTTTAACCATGGTTAGTTTCAGTTAAACTGAGATCAACTATACCTAACTCAAACTCCTGACAATGATGCAGCATGAACTCAACACACACCAGAGAGCACGTGTCTTGCACGGACCAAACATTCAAGATTCTCTGTTTTTTTACTTGAGAATAGTAGTAAATCATTTATTTGTAAAAAATCAAAATATCAATGATAAAAACAGGCAATCACACATCTGTCCTCCAAACATTGCTAAACCAAAAGCATTAACACCTTCAATAATTAGTATCATAATCATTGCATTAGCCACTTTCAAATCGATTATTTCAAAACTTGTTATTAACCCCTATAATGATAGAGGTTACTAATAATTTTCATTTAATATATTATTATATTTTGTTTATACTTTATAGGAATTTTGCGGGCAGTGTATGAAAGCACATTGGAGCAACCAAAAGGCAGAGTAGTGACACGCGCCATGTAAACAAGTAAGATTTCATTACCTTTAACTTTTAGAAAGTAACCAATATTTTATAGAGTGTTTCGCATCTTCTTGTGATCCTTTTGTCCAATCCAACAGAAAAAATGGCCATTGACATTGGCTTTGTCCTTGCGGCAATCCCATTGCCTTGACAATGAACCTGTCAATTTACGAACCATTTAATAGTCAAAAGACAGTAGCATCTATAATGGCATGCCTCCCATATCACGGGACATTTTTTTTTTTATAATACGATTAGAGATGTTAAGAACACACTTTTATTTGTGGTTAATCCTTCCTCTAAAAGATGTTAGGAACACATTTATCATATCAGTATGATACATTCAAGATTTATTATGAAAATAATCTTGTGTGTATTTATTTTTTACTAATTTAAATATAACAATATTAAAAAAAATTCAAGTTTGAAAAGATTAGTGTAAACATTGGATCGTTTGCATTATTTTATAATAAAAATTTTATTTTTCATATAGTATTATTTTAGAGAGAAGCTTTTTAAATATATTTCGGAAATGTAGCATTTATATTTATTTCAAACTCGGATCAATTTGTAGCCGTATGCATAAAATTATTTCTTTGGACATTAATTATTGTACTTTGAGTAGGTCTAGGAGGTAGACATGGGACAATTATACAGTTATTCGATAACTATTGTCTGGTTCTAAATTTGGTGATCTTTCGACTGCTAAGTGCAAGACACTTTATTTTATGTTTGGTGTAGCTTTTTTTTCACATTGGTGCTTTATAAGAATCGACAAGACCTGCATTACATGTGGCATAAAAAGATAAAATTTTGCAATTTTTTGTAACAATAATATTAATTAAAAAAAAAAGATAATTTTGTATCTGGTTGGGAGGAGGAATTTCATTGGGCTGTAAGCAGGATGAGAGGGAATGCACTAATATCTATCATATTTGAGACTGGCATGGAATGCACACATTTATCTGATTTGGAGTGAAATAAACAAAAGGCAGTTTGCTGCTGTGGAAAGCAACGAAGAGCAGATACTTAGAACGATAAAAAAAATTGATACAATTGAAATTGATGGAGCTAAAAAATATTGTTTTTGATAGTGTAAATAAAGATTTATGTGAAAATTAGGTTTAAGAATTGATATATTTATATAGAAGTCAAAGTGTCAGATGAAATTATATGAGTTGTATATTAGTAGTAGTGAATAACCGTTTTTAGGTAATAAAATTATAAATTATTAAAAAAAAAAAAGATAATTTTTTTAAACAAAATATATATTAGCAACAATGAATTTGGATATTGATGGAATATACGTGTCTATGAAACTAAATAAAAAAAATTATATATTTTGTAGGTTGATAATATTATGTAGTCATAATATATATGTTATGTAAAATATAAAAAATTACTATGTTAAATTTATATGGATACACAAAATATAAATTTATTTTTTATTTATATTAAATTTATATATAATTTTATTAAAATTTTAAAATTATTAAATCTAATATTTTACATGCACGGGGCATGGCAATGATGCAAAATTGTCTAGCTCTATAAATGTGTAATTAACTGTCAATACTTAGATCTAAATGCATCCCACATGCTAAAAAGGGCCATAACTATCCATATAGCACTATTCTTCTCATTACTTATATTTCAAAATTTTGTACCACCTAACATATCATATAATAATTAATTTGATTATAATATTTTATTTATGAATTAATTAACTTATTTATAAATTGATGGATTCTAATTATAATTAGGATATGACATTTATAGTAAAATTTTAATAATATCAATTGAAAAAAGATTAAAATCAAAGGGGGAAAAAAAAAAAAAAACAACTATTATACATGCTTGTTGAACAAGACGTGCCAATTTGCAGCCCCTAAAAGACAATTTTGATGTCATGTTTCCATGTTGAGTCGAGTGTTCACCTTAATTGGCCCCGCACAAGAGTCCAGCATCTTCTGTCTTTATCAATTCGTAATGTGTTTTCTTTTTAATAGTTTCGTATATAAATTTTATTTTTCTTTTGATTATGAGAAAAAGTATCGAAATTTTTAAACAACTTATTATTAAATTAAATATTCAAGTATGACTATTTTTTACCTTTTAACTTTTTATTAACTAAACATTTAAGAATCTAAAAAAGAATCCAAAAATTTTCAGTTTTTTAAAGCCACAAAAGATTCAAATTAAGAAAATTCAAAAACAAAAAATATGCTAATATATAGGATTTGTTTTCTGAAATAAATTTAAGATTAATACATATTTTTCTGTTTTTTTTTTTTTTTGAGATGATATAAAATTTGTATTTGTATTTTATTTTTTGGCATTAAAAATCATACAATTTTAATTTTATAAAAATTTTAATTTTAATATTAAATATTTAAAATTAAAACTTTTTTACATTTCACAAAAATTAATTATACTCAAAGGACGAAATGAATAATAAATAATAACATAAAGATTTTATGTTTTTTATTATTAGTTAATAATTGATTTTCGCCGCCAACAATAAATTTGTCACAATTAATCTTTGACAGAAACGTACTTCATCATTTCGAATTGATTGTAAAATAACGCACAATTTATTAATACTATTAATAACAAAGAAGCTTCGAAAGTCTAGTTTCGCTGAGTATACAAGCAAAAGTCATTTTTTTAGAAAAATTTGTAGTGCAATGATTGCACTTGAATTGTTTTCAAGTGCGGGCAGGTAATGCGAGTGCATTGAATTTTAGCAAATTGGAGATAGACAACCAAATCATGAGGGTGACAGTGACAGTGACTCTGTGAAACCTGCTTCGTTCATTTTATTATTGGAATTTTACGGCATATTGTCGCACTTTGTATGTAATTTAATGCTAAAAATTGTTAGTTGACTGGAGAACAACAATTATTCACTTCGGCCCTTATTGGGCTTTTGGCCCAAAAATATAAAAAAGGAGCATCTTCATTATAACTTTTTTTTTAATTTTAATGGTAAATATTTAATTTTCATGTTTGATTTAAAATAATTTGATTACAAAAAAAGTTAAATTTTTAACTGTATAAAAAATTTTGAAATAAAAAAATCATATTTTTTTATTATATTTTAAGATTTAAGAAAAAATTATCTTATTTTTAAATTTAATTTGAATAAAAAATAATAAAATAATTGTTATCTTTTTAAAAATATATCTGAAAGTGATTAAAACTTCGTTATAAGTTTTTGTATAAAAAATTATTTTTTATAAAAAAGTTATTTAAAGTGTTTTTTAACAAACAAAGGCTTAAATAATTTTTTTATTTTTTTATATTATGAATCATTTATAACAAAAATATTATATATCTTTTTTTAAAGTCCTTTAGCTCCTTTACTGCCGTATTTTCAAAGTTTTTTTTAGCTCAATTTCAAAGGCTCCTTTGGCTCAATTATGTGTCCACGATGCTGGTATAAGCTGTTTTATGTGAATGGATTTCAGATTGCTAGTTGATGTTATAGGCAAAATAACTAGTATTTCATGAAATTTCTTATTCAGCTACATGGTCTAAAAGATCGATATTCTTTAACATTACGATACATGTTACATAAGGTTTTATACAAGCCACAATAATAGGTCGGATCCGTGGCGCAATGGTAGCGCGTCTGACTCCAGATCAGAAGGTTGCGTGTTCGATTCACGTCGGGTTCAAGTCCCAACTGGTCCGAGTTTCCTTTTTCTTTTATTGAACTTCAGATCCCATCACGGGCTATTTTTCTATAATTGAAATTACAATTCGGAACCAAATCTTACCTTCTCTTACATTAAGTATTACTAAACAGTCAGCTTTGCAAGCGGAGTTAAAATTCACTGCAAGAACATGATAGATCACTGACAGCTCCAAATTGAGATGCAAAAAATTTCAGGAGAGTCCTATGAATTATTTACTGTGTCTTCATCTACCTCAGGCTTCACAAAGAACTCAATATAGGCAATTCGACTAGGTTGCTGATGGCCAGCAGAATCAATATGCGGATGTGAAGTAGCTGGTCTTGCTACAGAAACCAAGTGCTGAACTTTCAACATTCCTCCTCTCCCAATAGTCAACTTACTTCCTCTGTTATCCTTAATAACGCTACTAGGTAGATTTGAAGTTGTTGCTCGGAGAAATTTGTATTTATACCTGCCAAGATCAAGACAATAACAGATGATTTTGGTCTGCTGAAGCGAAATAGTAAATAAGACGTAAAGAATCGATAGAATATAAACATACTTATAGGAGATTTGCCGATCACAATGAAATGCAATCAAAAGATCAGTATTCACATAATACATGAAATCTATCTGCAAGAAAGATGAGCAGTTAAGCTTCTAACTTCTTAAATCCTCAACAAGATTCGCATATAAGTGAAAGTATAAGAACACCTGCAAGTCTCCATGGCCTTCTCCTTTAAATTTAACACAAGGGGGGTCTGGCAATAGAATGATCTGGATGCTTGACCCCGGCCATTCCAGATCATCAATTGCTTCCTTTAGTGCTGCAGACTGAAAAAGGGACAATTATGGTTGTAAGTTTTAATTGTAAACAACTGATTGAACCAAATAGGTGCACATTCCGACCATGTAGTATCATCTGACAAAACACCCAACAAGTGTCTGGAAGTGCTCAAACCCATAACATCAGAATTTAGGAGTATCAAGTATGCTTCTGTTATATGGAAATGCCACACAATAATTTAATCTCATTAAGTCCCAGGTTTATTAATTCATCATTTAGTTCTATCTTTCCATTGAAAAAAAAAAAAGTATATATGATGGCTACAACGTTATTTTTAAGCAGGAAAGCACGAGATAATTGAAATCTATTTCAGTTTATCTTAACTCACGTTTCAAATCAAGACAGTTCATAAACTTTATGAATATCTGTTTTTTTCTAGGTTAGTAAACTGGTAACAATATCCTACCTCAGTCTATCAATCTTTTAAGAAAAGTACCACTGGAGAAAGAGGGCATCAAGGAAGGGTTTGAAGCAGCCATTAACAAATGTATGCAAGTTTCCTAACTCACGGCATACTTGGTCCTTTCTCATACGCTACAATCACAGACAAGAGAATACAACTACATACCTTCACAGTAAAGGTAAGTGGTGTGCTTCCTGCAGGTTCAAAGTTGTAGTCCCATGAAATTGTATCCGGTATCCTTGTCCTGATTTCCGCATAAATGCAAGCATCCGGTGAATCGACAGACCTAAAAACCATTGAAAAAAATTAGTCGCATCAGGCAAAAATCAACTTGATTATGAAGAAGTAGCTTGATAAACTTGAAGGTGTCCTATGGACCTCTTCTTCATGGACTTCGAAAGTTGAAATTAGATACAATTCCAAACATCATAACACAGTTAAGTGAAAAATTAAAACAATTTGAGATTTCACCCATTGAATTACAACTCTGCTACGGTTGAGATGCTAATAAAGAACAGGGTTTTACATACTTGACAAGAAGCTGCATATCAGGTCCTGGGTATTGAATCTCAATCATACTAGAACGTCCAGGCGAAGAAAATGTGTTCAAACAGTCAACAATGAGTCCCAAGCTCACTCCAAACCTCGGTCGCCCTTCAGCATTATATTCATAGCGAACGAATAGCTGCAAATAGAAAAGGAATGGTAAAAGTCAAACCGCTGACTAAAGCAACTAGACAAACAGATTAACTAATAAAAGAAGTACCTCGCGTTGAAGATAAACTTTGGCTTGAAGACAACCGGTATCCTCTACGATCAAAACCATGCCGTGCTCTGATAATTCCACCACTGCGTCCTATAATTGTAGCAAAAATAGTGAATTAAAATCCCCAAAACCCTAGATTAGTTAACAACCCATACGATTTCAAAATAAAGGGCAAAAAGGATAAGAAACAGACCTGATGGCGTTTCCATCGAACGGCGGAGAGTGCGTCGACCATGCCTTGGACGTTGTCCAACTGGCACACTAGATCCGGCGATTCTGCGTCTACTGCCGACGAGCTCATCTCTGCCCCTCTCTCTCTCTTTTTCCTTTTCCCGCCAATTCTCCTTATGGCGTAAGGACCATTTCAAGAGATCTAAGGAAGATTTTATAAGTTCAATCAACGGCTGTGCTTTACTGATAATTTCCAGCTCAGTATTTTGGAAGACAAAATTATCATTCCACATAAAAACAATAAAAAAAAAAGTTTTTCTTCTATTATTTTCAGTGAGTTTATCTTTTGTGACCAACAAAAAATGGTATATGAAATATTTTATTTTGAAAACTTTTAATCTTCTAATAATAAAAAACCAAAAATTCAATCACTCTCAACTTTCAAATGAAAAGTCTTTTATAGTCGATCTCATGTTCATTTAATTAAAATGATTATTTAATTAAGATTTTAAAATCCTTAAACTTTACTGTGAAAGTTATGTGTTATTGATAATCAATAAGTTTAATTTAATTTGAATTTAAAAAGTTAATTTAAATATTATGGTTTAGATCTATATAAGTTAGCAAACTCAAACTCCTACAATATAATTTGAAAAAGTAAAATAATATTTTTAATAAAATAAATTATCATTTATAATCTATATATGCAATAAAAACAATCCTCTATCGTTATTTTGTTGTACACGTTTTTAAATTTTTTTTTTTAAATTTGAAAGTTAAATTTAGACCATAAAAACTTGCTTTTACAGCTGTTTGTTTTAAGGGTTTGAAAACTCTCAGGATCGATTTTATTTGTCTTTCTCTCCTTCTTTCCTTGATTGGGCTATTCTCTTTTTTATCATCCTCTTCCTTCATTTGTCAGCGTTGTTGCCATTGTCATGGTTCAACATTAGCCTGCTCTCGACTCTTATTCATCAGTCTTTGTTTAGAAACCCACTTAAAAAACTTAGAGGAAAATATTCGAAAATCTTGATCAATCTATTTAGGGATTATGTCTTTTAGTTTCTTGCTTCTTTCAACCTCATGTTAATGGAGCCGATAAAGTTTGGGTGTCAATAGGGGAATTTGATAGTTAGTGATAGTATGTGGTATGCAATCTTGATGTAAAAATGAGATATGAGTAAATTTTATAATTGTTTTCTTTTCTTTTTGGGTAATCAATCAAGGGAGGAGAATTTTGCTGTGTGTTTTTTTGTTAGGTACTTTGCATGGATTGACAAAATTACTATTTGTTGGCTTTTCTTTTTTCTTTTTAATTCATTTTGGGTCTTTATATTTTGATCCATGTAATTTCTCTCATTATATATTAGTGAAGAAATACAAATTATCAAATGTGAATTCAGGTTTTCAAACTTATTGAATGAAATCAAAAGTTTATCTTTATTGGTTAGTTGATTAATTAATTTATACTGATTTTAATGATTCTTTATATCGATTCTCGAAATTATAAATCAAATTTTCAACTAAATCAATTTAAATATTAATTTTCTTTTCAATGAAAAGCTTTTTAAGAAACTACTTCAAATAAATTATTTTCATAAAATATGTGTGAAAAATGTATAAATTATGTAGTGAAATATTGAGAATTTAATGTTTTTGTTACATTGCAAAGAGTGAGGGCTTTCTTAATTCATAGTAAAATGTAAGTACAAAAGAATGAAAGTTACTATTTTACATTGAGTAATTTAAAACTCAAAATATATTGAGATAATTGTGAAAATTTAACCTGTTTTATTGTTTTTTCTTATTTTTTTATATAATGCTGTTAAAATAGTTGAGATATCGATATCTTAATTTATTCTTTTTGACATTATCTGATTGTTTTTTATTGTTGTTTGGATAAAATGCAACTATAACCTTTAGATTAAAAAATATCTTTTAATTATCTAATTTTAATGTATATGATTAATGCATTTGTTGGAATCTTATTTAAAACTATATATATTAATGTATTATATATTGGTTGAATGATTATCTACATAAAATCATTGTGTTATTATCATTTAATAGTTTATTATGTTAGCTATTATATATTAGCTAAATAACTTCGAAGTAGAGCGAAGATTTCTAACTAGTATAAGTTAATAAAAAATTACAGGAATTCAAATTTAAAATTCATATTTATTATATGTTAAAATTTAAGGATAGTTAATAATTAGATGAATTTTATTAAAAAAATTAATTAAATTAAATTATAAGTTAAAAATAAAAAATTTACATGTGAAATTATGACTAGAAATAGACTTTGATTACAACACAATTAGAGTGTTACATCATTAAAATGTTAACTAGATTAAGACATATAGTTAAGTTTAATTTTTATATAAAAATTTGTTGCTTAATTTAAAATTATTTTAGAATAAATGATAGTAAGCATCAACTTGTTTCATTGTTGAATTAACAACGTAATTTAATTTGATTCATATATATTTTAAGAGATAATATTTAATATATTTAAAATTTAAAATTGATATATTTTTTACTTTAAATTATCTAAAAAGATTTGGTCCCTATTCGATATAATGAATTTAATGACCAATATTTATCTTAATTTAACATCTATGACCCATTGAAAAAAAAAGGTTTAAACTTGTAAAATAGTGAGCAAAAAAGAAAAATGAGTCATTTTCTACGATATAAGTTTGATCGCTCTCTCTCATTCAAAATTTTGTCATTTATAAGAAATTTCTTATAAATTTATTTTTGGTAGCTAAATTTTTTACTGAAACGGAAAGCGACACAAAATTATAGGAAACTAAAAATGAAAAAAAAAAAAAAAAAAAGAAGCAAAATCCCGGTGCCTGCAAATATGTGAAACAAGATGCCCAATCAAGTCATTTGAATCTTCCCAAAACCCCCACCCCAAAAAAAAAGGTACACGTCCTCCCAAAAGTCAAAACACGAAAACCGCCTCGTGCCGGTGTCCCCTATTCGTCTTCTCTCCCTTTAAACGCCGTTTCTATATTGTCCGTACAGCCATCTGCCTGTTTCTCAGCTCTCGGCACTCTCCTTCATTCTCGCATTCTTTTTCTCCTCTTTCAAAATCCCTAAAAACTCGTAAAAACTGCCATGGCTCAAATTAACCGTCCCTCAAAACCCTAAAACCTCTTTTATTTTTTATTTTTCATTTTCTATTATTTCTTTAATCGCAAAGAGTTGGTGCAGTCGAATGGATGGAGTAAGTAGCAGTAACAACAGCCCAAACGATGCATCGACGAGGGGCGGAGGAACTCAAACGTCGGCGGAACCTCAACCAACGCCACAGCCGGTGCCGGTGCAGAGTGCGAACGCTCCACCGCCTTTCTTGAGCAAGACTTACGATATGGTGGATGATCCCGCCACCGATGCCATCGTTTCTTGGAGTACAACCAACAATAGCTTCGTTGTTTGGAACCCTCCGGAGTTTGCACGGGATCTCTTGCCCAAGTATTTTAAGCACAACAACTTCTCGAGCTTCGTCAGGCAACTAAACACCTATGTACGCTCTTTTTCTTTACGTTATTTCTTTTACCTGTCGCTTTATTTTTTTTAACTTTTATAGTCGCTGTTAATTAGTATTTGAACTTACCTTAATTAGAAAAATGGAAAATCTTAATTGCTTTTGTTTCTTTTGGTTTGACTCGTGGAACATTTGATTTCCTTCTTGATGATTACGATTTATTGCCGATGCAAAATTGTTCTAAGTCGAGTTAATTGTTTTGGAATTGACCGGCTCAACTAAAAGTCCATTTATGGTTGCTGAGAAGATTTAGGAAAATAAAAACCATAGATGATAAGTTTTAGAAATCGTTTATGTTAAAATATAGAGGAACAAGTTTAGGAATATATGATTGCGATGTAGCGGCAAATCAGTGTTCTAGGTTAGGCTTTAGGCTAGGGCTTGAGTTAACCAGCTAGGGTTTTGAAGGAATTAGTTAAACTCTTAGTAAACCTTTTGGTTTAGTTTTGTAAGATGTTTGTGAAGAATTAAGGATAATATATTTTAAGTTATATTATTTAAGTTGCTTTGGTTTTGAAAAACAGGATTATGATCCTGTCTCAACTAAATGTGATTTTATGGACAGGGGATTTGATGGCTTTGTTCCATTGTCTTCCATTTCGTGGAATTATGTGATTTAAAGTTTTAATTGTGCTTCTTCCTGGATTTTTCTCAGCAACTAAATGGAGCAGAAAGATGAAATTGGAAAAAGAAAGCAGGTCACATGTTGTCCATGATGTGATCGCAAGGTTATCAAAGGATAGTTACTTTTATTTGTCTTTACTTGTCAGTGGTTCAAATGACACATATATGAAGGACATTAATAATAGATGAAGAGAGTGGTGCATATGAATGTATCACTTAGATAATCAACCAGTTCAGATGCTAATAATCCATCATAAAATTGGGTCTGACCATCATTTCTGGATGAAGGACATGCAAGCAGTGCAGACATATCATGTATGCACTCTGACTTGGCCCTATATGTGTTTGAATTTTGAACTATGCAGATTTTAGGAAATCTTGCTGCTAGGCTTTTTATCAGGGATTAGGCTTTGATCACTGTGGATTTAGGTCTCAAAGTTGCAGAGGGAGAATTTTTGTCTTTTAGATTGGCATAGAGTTTAATTTGTTTGAGATTGTGGGTAATAAACGGCTAAAAATAACGAATTTGTTGCAGGTCCTTAAGGAGAGTGACCAAACAGTAAGGTTTGGTGTTTATGTTGTGACAGAACGATTTAAATAACGGTGAAAGGTGTCAGCTTTTCATTTTATGTAGTTATAGTGATCTTGTTAGATAAATCGTTCAATATCGGCCATCTTCAACATTTTTGGTATCAGTTTTACAAAAATATGTCATGACCCACTGCATAGCCAAGGTGAAAGTTGATTGATTGGAAAATGGTTCAATCTTGATCAGTAATCATGCATTCGTTCTTATTTTGCTGCAACAGCAATCCAGTGTTCACTTGACCGAGGCTAGCATTTAGGTAATTTACTTGCAAAAATGCATCTATTCTGGTAAAATAACATCTTAAATATTCTAAGGTTTTAGTTGAAATTTCTTTTAATGAATCATTCTGCCATAACTCTTTAAAGAAAGTGGAAGAACTATGCAATAAATGAAATGTTTGTGTTAAATTTTTGTTACCGCTTCATATGAAATTCTCAAATTCTATGCGTATTTGACATGTACATTGCATGTATAATCACATGCGTATCTTTTATGTGTATATACATCATATATACATACCCTATTGTGTACATGCATGATCCTAGGTGTTTGACATTAGATGTCATTCTATTAATATGAGGTTGACGTTATATATTTTTATATTTTCTCAGCTATTTTGGAGCAGTTTGTATTATTGTTGGAAAACAAGAGCTTTGGTGCCTGTAGACTGTAGTTTGGGAAATGTTCATCTCATTGTTAAACAAATCTTATAGTATTGTTTGGATCTTATTGTAGTTTATACCATGCTCCTCAACAGATTTCTTTGGGAGTGGGATATATACTACTTTGGCATCTTAGTGCCATGGGCGTTGCATTATGTTTGTTGCATGATCCTGCACAGATTTCCTTTGGAGTGGGGATATATGTTACTTTGTCATCTTAGTAGCTTGGGCTTTGCATGTAATCTCTTTCTTCATTAAATGTCCCTTAGCATTATATCAATATATTCAGGTAAGCCTTTTTATTAATTATTGTCTACAAATATTTTAGGATGTTCAAAATGTAGGTGTCACATCAAATTCTTTTTTTTTTAAATATAATAATTGAATACTGGCCTTGATTGATAGTTCAATAATTTTGGTAGGATGTAAATGCTATTACTTAAAAGATTCTGTGATAACTTATATAAAATGTTGTTAATTGTCTAATACATGCACCGTTTCTGTGAAGTTGAGACAAACTGTGTGCTGCTGCCCAATTCTGAAACTAAGTATGATATTTTTGCTGATGTGGCATTGCCTTGAAAGCTTTAGCATTTTAAGGGAGAATGGAATCATGTGGTGGACATGAAAGCTATTCTTCTAATTGACAGTGAAATTTGCTTTGTTCCTAGTTTAGTTACTTCTTAGCGTTATGTTTTTATGTTAACTTGTATTAGCATGGTTGGACTCTTTCTTTTGAGTTTCACTTGAATCCAGATTCTAGATGTTGTAATGTTTATGTTAGTTCTTGTGGTACTGTACTAGTCTGCACTCTGGAAGATTTTGTGATTTTGTAACATGAATATATTATTCTTCAGCAGCTAGAAATGCATTGGAGGATGTGTGAATTTGCCTTAGCTTTTCTCAATCCTTCATTAAAAATGGAGATTTCAAATGTGGTAATTATGGTAAAGTTAGAACTTTAAAAAAAAAAAAAAAACAAGTAAATTTCAAGTGATTTTAAATGTGGTTATAGCCTGCTAGTTTGGTTTTTAAATTGGTTGAAATTAGTTGACTCAAGCTGGGCACCTCCTGCTTGAACTTTCTTATTTAATTTTCTGTTGGGGTACTCTAATTGACTCAAATTTATGAGCTCAATTTGAGCTCTTTATTTCTTAATTTTTGCCTCCTTTTGAGTTTAGATCAGTGTAAGAGGCTCTTGATAAGGTTTGTCGATGAGTGGGGATTGGAGGTGGGGCCCTTTGTGCCCAATCTTGGTTCATTTACTAGACAAGATCTAGAATAGACTAGGGCTTATTTATTTAAACCAGTTCCAGATTAATTGTCCAGCAGCTGTAGTGATTACCAATTCAATATGCCTCCTTGCAGATGAATGTCTGTACCCATTGTTTTTTTTACTTTTGCACCATTCGGGACAAGCAATGTTTACATAAATATCTGTATTTTGTCAATAACAATTCTGCTGAGTGTTCTGTTTTTTCTCTATATATTTTTTGTTCTTGCCTGTGTTTTCACAGGGTTTCCGAAAGGTTGATCCAGACCGCTGGGAATTTGCAAATGAGGGATTTTTAAGAGGTCAGAAACAGCTGCTTCGAAACATTAGCCGGCGAAAGCCTGCCCATGGCCACGGTCATCAGCAGACACAGCAATCACATGGACACAGTTCTTCTGTTGGTGCCTGTGTTGAGGTTGGGAAATTTGGGCTTGAGGAAGAGGTTGAGAGGCTTAAGAGAGACAAGAATGTGCTTATGCAGGAACTTGTTAGGTTGAGGCAGCAGCAACAGGCTACTGATAACCAACTGCAGACCATGGTGCAACGTCTTCAGGGTATGGAGCAGCGGCAGCAGCAGATGATGTCATTCTTGGCAAAGGCTGTGCAGAGCCCTGGCTTTTTGGCTCAATTTGTGCAGCAGCAAAATGAGAGCAATAGGCGCATAAATGAAGCCAATAAGAAAAGGAGGCTCAAGCAGGATGTTATCATTGATAATGAGCAATCTAGTGCCTCTGATGGACAGATTGTTAAATATCAGCCTTTGATGAATGAGGCTACAGCAATGCTTATGCAGATCATGAAAGGGGATTCTTCTCCCAGGTTGGACTCCTTTAACAACAGTCATGAAAATTTCCTGATTGGTGATGGTTTGTCATCATCCAATGGATTGGATGGTGGTAACTCTTCAAGCCGATTATCAGGGGTGACTCTGCAAGAGGTCCCACCAACATCAGGGCATTCAACATATGTACCCGCAACTTCAGGGATCTCAGGGCATAGCCCCTCAGTTGCCATATCTGAAATACAATCTTCTGCATGTACGACATCCTCTGAAAAGATTACAACAGCGCAATTTCCAGATGTGAGTGCACTGGTTGGAGCACAAAAGCCACCATCCATGTCCATTCCTCAGACAGATGTAATTATGCCCGAGCTTTCTGAAATGCCAGAAATGGTCCCAGAAAGCATTGTTAATATGCCTACAGGAAATTACGTGGGATCTGAAACTGGGAATGGTGGATTTATTGATCCTTCTACATTTGATGTAAATGGTTCAGTTCCCATAGAACTTGATGACATTGCTCCTGATCCTGACATAGATGCCTTGCTGGATAGTTCTACTTTCTGGGAAGATCTTCTTGTGCAAAGTCCAGTTCTTGAGGATATTGAATCAACCTCAATGGATGGTGATAGCAAGGGCAATGAAGGGCAGTTGATGGACAGTGGATGGGACAAATCTCAGCATATGGATAAGCTTACTGAACAAATGGGTCTTCTTAGATCATATAACAAGAGGGTATAATTGCCAACAGTCACGTGGTCTGTTGGTAGAATACTAAACTCTTAGTTCCAGTGATAGACTTCAAATCCTGCCAGTTTCAAATACCAAAAAAGAGGGTCTAGTCTGTTTTACCAAAATCTTCATTGCCTTTCACTTTTATTTGAGGTAAACTTATTGAGTTTTATAATCACATGATCTTCTTATTTTAGCCATTGGAAAAGTACTAATGCCTTCATTATTTTTGTTTTGCACTCTCATATATATAGACCTAAACTAAGTTTTGTTTTTTATTATTTCCAAGTGGAGATATTCTTTCACTTCACCTTTGTGCTGGGCCCAAAGGCCTTGTCTGTTTGGTCATTGGTGGTGTTAGGCAATTGGTTTGATGTATACCTTTTTTTTTTTTGTTGTTTAAAAAGTCTTTTGTATGGGTTTCTGTTGTTCTCTAGGGGGCTGCCATTATTTCGAAGGTATATCTCCCTTTAAAAGGGATGCCACTCGCTGAAAATTCGTTCTTCTTATCCCTGTTTCATTATATTTACACTTTTCATGCAGGCTACGTGACATGTAAAAACCTTTATAGCAAGTTTGATGCCTCCTAAGTTCACATCCTTAATTCCCTGATGAAACAATTTTCTGAATGCCTCCGAATCTGATATATTTAATTTGATGTGGATATGCTGTGAAGAATTTGTGCTAATGTCTGTGTGTGTGTGTGTTTTATTTTTTTATTTGTGGTTATTGAACATTGTTATCAATGGTTTTGAGGCGTGTCATATCTTGCTCTTACCTTCTAGGTTTAGGCATGAGTAGGACCTGAGTATGGTAAAACAACATGTATTGGCTGATGCTGTAAACTAAAGATAAAGTGAAACTGGGAGGTTTAGGGTTGGTGAGATTGGGATGATTGCTTCCTTGGATTGGGAGAAAGGCAGTGGCAGGTGATGTTATGCCTACCAAAGGGCTAATATGGTGGTTTGCCTGGCCAGGCTTCTTCCTTGTGAAGGATTATCCATAATTGTTTCATGAATGTTTGTATCACTTAACTGTTAAATGTTATATTATTCCGTGAATGATCAGAACATGAGAAGAATAAATAAGGTGTGAAATTTAGCCAATCAAACAATTAAAGGATATAACGTTATTATGGACCAAAAGTATATCTGAAATTAGCTGCCAAGTTAATGGTTGTATCGAGTTGGCTGTAGAAAATTGGAGAAAGCTCCGTTTCTTTTTTATTTAAGGCAAAAAATCCAAATGAAAGCAGTTAAAAGGAGCATATTGTCAAATACTACTAATAGATTGGTCCATATTCTTAGGAGCGACGTTTAAGACTAGAACTTCTGCTGCAAATGAGCTAAACCCAAGCTGAAGTTGACTCGCTTCTTCACTTCTTACTAGGTACATTAGTCTTTGAAGTTTGATTCATTTGGCAAGCAATGCCATGCCTTCGTTTCATATCTCTTTTCTCTAACAACTCGTACTTAAAAGAAGGGGTTTCACGTATAACTTCGGACGCGCACGCTTTTGTTATTGTAGTTAAAGCGAAATACGGCTGTTACATGGTTTGACCTTCCATTTCGCATTGTGATCCTAATAACTCGATATGCTGATACAATCGGCACATTTCCTTTTTCATTTTCCCCCCTACTTATCTTCATCCCTCTGATATTATCAAAGCTTTGCTCGAATCACAGGATTCAATCAATCGAACGGCTTCTGTCTCCCTCCACTTATTTCGCTATTGAAATCTTAATTTTAGAAGCACATGTTTAACGATTAGCCATGAAAATTGGCATGCTGTTACCAGAGAATATATAAAAACTTACAAAATTTAATAATGATAAAAAATAAAAAGACACGTGTCAGTCCAAGAACTGACAAATGCTGACATAACCCAGAGTCCCTTAAATATGGGATTGTCACAGCCCACAATCTCAACTTATGTATTTATAACTGTCAGATTGTTCTATTATTTCCTATCTTTACACTTTACACCAAGAGAAGAGAGACGAAAAAAATTGAAGTACTGACAATAAATCAGAAAGACAAAGGTAACAACAAATATAGAAGGTGTGTAAATGGCACTAGTTAGGGAGAGAAGGCACCAACAGGGACTCCGTTTATCCCTACCACCACCGTTACCGGCAGCTGATTTCCGGCAACGGTCTCATTATGCAGCGTTGCTCTCAGCCATTGGTCCAACATCTCCAGACATCGAAAGGCTCGCCGACCTTGAGAAACTCTCAGTTATTGGCCATGGCAATGGTGGCACTGTCTACAAAGTCCAGAACCGTAAAAGCTCATCCATTTACGCGTTAAAAGTCCTTCGTTTTGATCAAAACACTGCCATAATACGACACCAGGCGACATCTGAAGCTGAAATCCTGAAAAGGGTCGATTCACAATTCGTTGTGAAATGCCTCGCTGTTTTTGATACTATAGGAGGAGAGCTCTGTTTCGTTATGGAGCACATGGAGAGAGGGTCGTTGTACGATGAACTTTGTGTCAGGGTGAATTTGCCTGAAGATGTTATTTCAGGGATTGCCCAAAGAGTTTTACGAGGGTTACAATATCTGCATGGAATGCAAATTGTGCATGGCGATATCAAACCATCGAATCTATTGATAAATGGGAAGGGAGACGTGAAGATTGCAGATTTTGGAGTGAGTAAGATCGTTGTTGGCACGCGAAATGCCTGTGACACGTGCATGGGAACATGTGCTTACATGAGTCCTGAAAGAGTTGATCCAGAGAGGTGGAATGGGGGCAATGCGGATGGTTTTGCTGGGGATATTTGGTCGCTAGGTGTGGTGGTATTAGAATGTTTTGTGGGTCATTATCCGTTGATTGGTTTCGGAGAAAAGCCTGATTGGGCGGCTTTAATGTGTGCCATATGCTTTGGGGAGAGGTTGGAGATGCCTGAGAAGGCTTCGCCGGATTTTAGGAGCTTTGTGAGAAGGTGTTTGGAGAAAGATTGGAGAAAGAGAGGGACGGTGGCTGAGCTTCTTGATCACCCTTTTGTGAAAAGAAGTTGTGGCGGAGGTTCTAATGAAGGATTCATCGATTTTGCCTTGCACCATTGAGTTTCTTCTTCCATTTTGCTAGAAAAAAAAAAATTAAATTTTCTTTTCAGCCTTTCTCCAATCATTAATTACACCTTTCATGGGTTTTCAATGTTTGGAGTATCTGAATTTAGTTGTGCAGCTAAATGACTTGTTGGAAATGGCTGGTTAATCAGAGCATAGAATAAAATGCTTATTTCCATAATTTGTTGCTCAGGACAGAACGTGAAAATAACCAGTGAGATGCTGGCAAATGATCCGCACCAAGAGTGACATATGTTAGTAGAGGTGATACACGTTTATGAGTTTGTTTCAATTAGCATAAGAATTTGGATTTGTAAACTAATTCTAGCAGTTCTAATTGGTGTTACTGTTGCTAACACTTTAGATTTTTCATATAAAAATTTGGCTTAGCTGAATCTAAGACAGATCTCATTAACTAATCAGCTTACTTCTAGAGGCCAAGGCAATAGCCATAGCTCACTTTTCGTTACTCATCAGGTAATAACCCGAGACTGAAATGATAAATGGTGAAGTCATATACATACAAACAATGTCTTTTGATTTGCACAAGAGCTTCTAAATTTGGCCTCTAAATTCAATCTAGCAGTTTCAACGGTCTTGATAGTGAAATCTTTGGTTAGATTTAAAAAAAATCTGTATCTAATACACCAATTGCATGCAGTTCCAATGTTGAAATCTCAGTAACGCTCGCTATATCAGATTTGCAACTTTTTGATGGTTTCCACCCTGTGTGGAACCATGTAAATCAACGAACTAATGATAGCCTATAGTCTAGCTGAGCTCTAAAAGAAGATATTTCTCACAGAAAGGTCAAAACTGAGCTCAAAATTACTTTTACTTACGATGCAACCCCGAGGTTGATGCATTCTAAGCTTCCTTGACGTTATTATCCTGATGAGTGATGACAGATTGATCATTAGCTACTCCTTTCTTTTAATGTAACTTACTCAGAAGCTGACAGTAAACACGAACTGAATTCCACACTGCAACAGACTACTGCTTAAATGATTCATTTCAGGAGTATTCAAATATCAAACGGAAAGAAAATTTTGTCCCGTTTATTTTCAACAGTTACAAAGGTTATACTTGTAGCCATAAATCCATAATGAAGTTCAGCAATGAACAAATATAATCAAGTTGTTGATGGCCATGCCAGATGTCTTCGCTATGAACTTCACTATCAATAAATCTTAAATCATTTTTGCGGGGACATGCACCGATTCTTTGTGAACTCCATCTGCTTCTGTAGAAATCCACCTGGAGGAATCCATAACATCAAATGAATAAATAAATTTCCATAAATATACAGAACAATTGCAATCCTGTTGCTGTTAGAAAGGCACATAGATTGAAACCGTGAAGAGTTGGAACAGGAATACATGCCAGTTACTTTGCCACCTCCTTTTACTGGAAAACCGGATCAGATGTAGACCAAGAATAGAGAACAGACAAAAATCTAGAGAGAAAATCAAGGGAGAAATAGAAGAACGACAGTGAGGAACAAAGTGAGCCAGGGGGGAAATACCCAAAGGTCTTGAAAGGGGAACACTGTGGGTAGAGTTGGAGAATGATTGAGGTGTAGGTAAAGGTAGAGTGGTGAGAGGGTGATGTAGGGCTTTTGAGAGAGAGAGATTTGAGTGAAAGAAAGTGGTAATGGAAAATAAGCCAAAAGATCCCAAATTTAAGTCACCTCTTATAAGTGGAACTCGAAATTTAAGTGGCTCATACTATAACCGGAGTATAATAGATAGGATGTAACAAAAGAGAGGAAGGCAATTGGTGGCCAATGAATTGAAGAACTAACCTGGTCTTGATATCAGGTGGATGCGGGAACGAGGACCTTCAAACTTCCAGTTATCTTCATCCAATGATTTAACCTTTTCGTTAAGTGCAGCCATCAAATCAGATTTTAGAACTGCAATGAAGAAGCAATAAGAGTTGTGTCTATGACCTGATACTCCAGTAAAAAGGTAAAAGAAGTAGATATAACATGCAATTAAATTTCAATGAGAGACTTTTAGACAAAAGCATTGCAGAAATTAGGCCTGCAGCAGGCCTCAAAACTTATGAATTCCCTCTGCACATTATTCTCATTGTCTTATGATATTAAAAATGCAAAATATAAGCAGACCTTGAAGACAACTTAAGAAATCTTCAAAATAATCCTCCAAAGTAATCTCAAGATGTTTACAAAAATTAAGCAAATAAATCAACCCATTAAATATAATGGATGTAAGATTAATGAAAGCCAAAGGAAAACATCAGTTTTACTATACTAAATTTCATTATTTGAATGTCAAAAAACCAAATTTATTCACCCAATTAAGCCTCATAGAACAAGAATATAATCATCCAATACTAAAGACATTCAAACATATTCTAGAAACCCACAACAATAAACTCCGATATATGACATCATAATTAAAGAATTCCGCAAATGTAATCAAAACCCAAAACTTTTAATGTAGAAATAAGATCACCCAAATGGCTAAAAGCACAAACTTTACACAAAATTCATAGTTCAAAGAGAAAGGAAGGAAACCCAAAAAAATAGAGAAGAAAGAACAAACCAAGCATGGCCTCATCCTTGGGGTCTTGGATAGGGATACGATCAGAAGGGAAATGGAAATCCTCCAAAGCAGCATTAGTGGCACTTGCTGCTCCTCCAACGATTGCTGTTGTTGATAGTGATGAGCTCGCGGGTGATGAACTATTCATTTTCTTGCTTTAATATTTTCCTTTCACAGGTGAAAATTTTGGATGAGCAAGAAAGAAAGTTTCCACCTTTTCTTGAATGTCAGCTTTGCAGTTCAGTTCTCAAACTTTGTTTGGACGTATGGAACTTAAAAGGAATTTGGGTCTTTGGTTTGGGAGTTCAAAATGCAAAGAGAAAGTACAGTGGGTGAGATAGACTGTTCCTAGTTTACCATTATACCCTTCAGTCCCTTTTATTTTATAGACTATGGAGTCACTGGGCCTTATGGAACTCTAAGCCCAAAGCTATGTTCTATGAACTAGATCTGTTCTGATTTTATTTTGTCCTCCGAAAACTGGGTTGCTCCGCCTCCAAGATTGCTTGAGTTAAGTAAATATTAAGCAGCGAAAAAGTGATTTTTGTCGAAAAAGGAAAAGGAAAAATAAGGTCAGCTCTCTTATTCTCTCTCAAGTTTGTGCATATGATGAATAATCAGATTTTATGCTTTGCGTCTGCATCTTCTTTTTATGTAATGGAAATCTCTGTGTAAGTTTTTATAAGTTTTGGATTGGGGTATTGGTGTATATAGTAGAAAATTAGGATTTGTAGTTTGGGTCATTGTTCTTGTTCATAATGGAATTGTTAAAGGTTGTTGCTTTGGAAAAGTTAAATATGAGTAAAGAGACCATTTTTATTTAATATATCGGAACTGATCCTTCTTTTATTTGCAAGATTGACGGATTTATTCGTTCTGCTTCGATCTGTTAAGAATTCTTATGTTTGTTTGTACATAGTATTTGATTTAAAGCCCAGTCCTACCATGGGATTTTCATGTGATTCTTCATCCACTTTGTTTCCTCCATTTCAGTTACTTTATGGCTACTCGACAATGTAATGGATTGTGCTTTTATCAGAAACTAGCAATCCTTTGGATGTTATTTTCTGGTGCTGTCTGTTGCATGCATGTCTTTTCATCTTCAAGTGAGGTCAGTGAGCATGATGCTTGGTTCCTGAACCTTTACAAATTAGCTATTTCTACTATCTTGAATGTTAATTGTTAGTAAAAAGGAAATCAGTTACAGTGTTAAATAGTCAAGGTGCTTTGCGGTATAGCCACCTGCCTTGCTTGCTTCTTACCTTTGTAAACGTATGCCTTGCTAGATCCAACAGCTAAGCTTTCAAGGAATTTGACGTCCTTAATTTTCAGGTCGAAATGAGGGGGCCATATGATTCCCAGAATTCAAATGCCAGGAAATATATATTGAAATCTTATTTTGACAAATATGAGAACCTGCATGATTCAAGTTTTGATGATTTATGGCACATGAACTTTCTTCCAGTTTGTGTGAAATGTTTCCTGATAACCGGAATCTTGATGTGAGGCTATCAGTTCTAAATCTCTCTCTGGTTGGTGAAGGTTCTCATCGTCATTTATCTTCATCTATCAGATTGCAGACTGAGGCGGAATGCATTCCTAAACCGGCTGCTCATTTTTGTGAAGTTATAATTATACAAAGACTACCCCTTGGGGTATTTGCTGACCCGTTTGAGCTACAACATCTTCATGAGCGGAGGGGTAAACAGCAATTGATTTTCCTTGTGACAAAAATGACTTTGTTTTGTTAAAACTAGGCTTACTACTTCCTGGTTTATCTTCTGTTTTTGAGGTTTTTATGCATTTTACTTGTTGCAGTGTTTACAAGTGTAGCTGTTTTTGGAGACACCAACTTAGAATTGCCTTCGTTTCAGTCCAACCGATCTGTTGTCGAAGTCCACATGAATGTTGGATATGACATCTTGTCAGAGCAGAATAATAGACTGGAAATCAACATACATCTTCCGCTACATGCACGATATCAGGTAAGTGAGAGGAAAGGATTTCAATACTTTTCACTTTTTTAAATACTTTATGGTAGATGATCGCAACAAGTTCTTGTCTAAATCAAAAGCATAGGAATATAGTTTTTGTATTAGACAGAGTTACACAGGTTGCACTTGCAATTACATATTTGCTTTTGTAAGCTTGCAAGGGAATTCCATTCGGTTGTCTGTTTTACTGTTGTAGTTGCAACTAAATAGTTATTAATATATTAAAATCAGATCCAAAATGTATTATTTTTGCAGCCCCTAGATGAAAGTGGTTATTCGATTGTTGAAATTGGTGAACCTGATGTACTGATGTGCTGCAGCATGGAAGGAAAGCAACATAAACAGAGCTGTTTGTTTAGGTCACCCAATGACAGTGCAAAGCCTAGAATCGCTGCTGTAGTTTGGAGAATCCCTTCTGGAACAAGGGCACATGGTGGAATTGTATCAGTTGTTATCTTTGTTACAGCCTTGTTTTCAACTTTTTCAATCGTAGTGACATCAAATATTTGTTCAGGCACCAAGGTGTCCCAAAACTTGAAACAATCTTGGCCAACATCAAATTCTACATGAAAAATTGTTTTTATGGGACAGATTGCATGGCTGTTATTAAAGATTTTGACCTCAATTCCTCTGCGTTAATGCATCCAGTGACGTTTAAAGGACCAGTTTAAAGTTTAGTGCCTTAAGTTATAGGCTATTTTTGTTCTCTAGGGGCTGAATCTTTAATCATCAAGTTGAGAAATATTAATAGTCTGCTTAACGGGAGAATTGAAAAAAGCCACGCCAGAATCACAATGCCATGGAAATAAGGCACTATGTAAATGCATATATATTGATATAAAAAACCAAAGAATTATAACTCTTATTATAGTAAAATTCAAGAAAACAAAAGGGGCAATGCACGAAAGCTGTACCAACAAATCCTCAACAAACCCAAACCCAAAAGCTGTAACGCACCTTGCACAAAACCAAACCCAAACACAAACACCAACTTACAGAAAAGAGACACCTTGCCCAAAGATCAACCAAATATCATAATGGATGATGGATAACCATATGCTATATACTAACACTAGAAGTGAACACCAGTCAGCCGTCATGTCTCCCAAAACAACATAATCAAATACATTAGCAAAAGGATCACCCTCTTGTTGCTGAGAAGATCTATAAATTGTTATATGATCAAAGAGGACAGCCTTCTGATCAGACTACCAGTACTATGATCACGATCAGAATGACAATTCCAAATATCACCAGGAGCAAGCAGGTCTGTCCAAAACAAGTAAAGAAATTAAGTCCTTGGAAGGATTTGATTATGGTACCCTTCACTGGTGAAAGCAACTGTGTAAGATGGCTATGAATAGGCAGGTCACTAGACAACTTAGGTGTGCAATCAATCAAGATTCACAGACCCACCAAAGGAAGCCCACACCATGTCCCACGATCCCAATTAAAAGGAGGATCAAGAAAGTGGATATCTTTGCCATGATAGTGCTTTACATCATGTGCACAATTTTATAATTTAATAAAACATAAGAATCAGAGCATTGTATGTTACCAGGGAAGAATTTGATCTCTGAGTCTTTGCAGCTTTCACAAGTTGGGATTTAGCCTGTACAGTGGCAGCTTGTGAGTTTTCAATATGGGTCCCAATGTCATCTGCAGCATAGATTAACTTTCAGGACTCTTCAGCATGAGCCAAAAGGTCAGAAATATCATAGTGATTTAACGAAGCAGATGAAATTCTTTACCAATTATAGTTCCTTGCTCATGAACTAGCACAGCGAGATCTTTGAAGATCTCATTTACCTCACCAATTTGCTGCTGAATTTCTTGAATTCCTTGTTCTCTTTCTTCAATTATAGCCTCATTAAATGCAATCTCATTATCCAACAGCAAGACCTCTTGTCTGTGAGAGGAAAATACTCAAAAGTTAAAGGCTGTAGTCTAATAATCCGATTCAAAAAAATAACTAATTAGATAATACAACAGATACACAGTCTATAAACAAATAGCGCCATGGATCACATAAGGTTTTTGTGAAAATTCTGGAAACAAAGAATAGAAAATCTGTACTTTATCAATGCAGGCTTGAGGGGATGAACATGAGAAATCGCCCTTCATAAGTATTTAAAATCCACAATTAACTAATGCATGGTATCACCCTTCCATAATCATGATGCTCCAATCTAATATACATATAGATACACAAACAGGTAAGAGTGCATGAATACACACACACACACACACACCAGGAAAAAGAACTGGCATGGAGGATTCACACAAGGCCAGAATCTATTTAAGAACTGATCCAAACTGCCTAATGACCATGAACAATAAATAGGAATAGAAAACAAGAAAATTCATGTCCAAATTCCAGAAAAAAATAGCAAGTGTGCACCATATGAAAAGGATGGTTTGCAAGATTTTGTAAAGCATAACTTACCTTCTTGATTCCACAAGAAGGGCTCGCTGTTCGGCACTTTTATCTGAACCTACATCTATCTCACTGGCTGTGTAGCTGTATATAATAGGAAGAAACATCCAGTATAAGAATAACAAGCAAAAGCCTAGAGCAGGATTGAAGCATAACACAAGGATAACCACAAAATAATTTGTATTTCCAACCAGTAAATAGCAGAAATTCAATAAGCAATATAGATGTTCTATAAGTGATTTCTCAAAACCATCTTGCCAATGACTCAATTTTCCATGTATGTCAGGAACACATAACATAGAATGCACTCTCCTACCCATCTATGTACATGTAAATCTTCCTATGATAAATACCTTGAAGGAAGAACTGCCTGGGGAACAAAAGGAGTGTATGCTGTTTCCCTTTCAGCTGCAAGCCGTTGAGCCTTCTGAAACTCTTTCAAAACTGCTTGAAAATCTTTTGCAAGTTTAGCATCTGTTATCTTCTTGCTGGCCTACAATTAAAAGGACTTCAAAGGCATCAAGCACTTCCTAGCGGAGGGGTTAAGTGGTTTTAGCAATAATTCAATAACCTATGCATGAATTACCATGAGTTTGAATAGAACAAAAGAAACATTATGAGTAACAAACACCATATCTAACATCTCCTATTTGTTGATTTAAAAGTAAAACAGAAGGCCGCTTGGTTGACATAATCAACCAAAACCAAAACCCAAACTTACGCTAACTTCAGCACGGTGATCTGTTTCACTAGCTTGTTTAAGTTTAGCCGAAGTGTCCTTGACTAATTGCCCAATATGTAGCCTCGTTTTATGCCTGCCAAGTGAGACATTTCAGCTATAGTACCCACTGATAATCAAATTAGCATATAGTCAAAATCACTCAAGAAAATCAAACGAAAGCAACAAATTGCCCATGCAATACAAGGATGCAGATTGCTAATAGATCAAGAAAAGCCAACAATAAATATTAATAAACATATACACTATTCGAGAATTGTCACATTTATTCAAACGAAAAGGGGAAATTCTCTAAGCTTTCTCCAAAGGAAAGTCAAATTGAAATTGACCAAGGGCATCATTTATCATCCCTAATTGAAACTCCCAAATTAAACAATCGAAGATAATATCAACGCAATTGAACAAAAATTAAACCACAATTTTATGTATTTTGATTCAAAATCAAACGACTATCACATTGAAACAATGTGATCGGTTAAAATTGCAATCGAAGCAATTGAATTGGGTAAAACTCACAGCTTTTCTCGAAGCTCAGGCGTGTCCTTAGGAGTCCCAAGGGTATTGACGAGTCGCTGGAAGGAGGAGACGGCAGTGTTGATCTGGAAAATGCCAGAAGCCACAGCTTGGGTGGCGTCTTGCTTGCTGTTGATGAGGTTTTGCCTCGACGCCGATGGCCGTCCAGCTTCCAGATCTTGAAAGCTCATGATTAGCCCTCTATATCAGTCTTTGTTATATTGGCCAAAAAAAAAAGTCTTTGTTCTAAACCCTAACTTTGTCGGGAAAACTATGAGATGAAATTTTCTTAAGAAAGGGATTGGGAAAATGAAAATAACAGGCGATAATTGAGGGACCGAGAAAGAGAGAAAGGAATTTGACGGTTTTAAAATGAAAAGAAGAAGAAAAAAGAAAAAATAAATAATTGATTTAATAATTATTATATAATTGTCGTGCGAAGCGGTTCGTTTGGTTTTTTTTTTTTTTGCGGGCCCGTGGATGATTTAAAATAATGAAAAATAATTTTATTTTGTCCCGGTAAAGTGATGTGGACGGGAGACGGTACACGTGGGTAATGGAGAGAGGTACGTTGATTTGCCACCCGGATCCAAATAATGGAAAATGGCTTATTGCATTTTTTTATTATTTATAAAAGCTTTAATGGTGAAAGGCCCAAAAAAAAAAAAAAATTGATAATGGGTTGAATTAAGTAGAATAAATCGATGCATTTAAAGCTTAAATTAATTTTAAGCTTATTTTTGTGACAAAATTAAAGAGATTTGAAATTTTATTAATAATTATATATAAATATAATAAAATAAAAAATTATATATTTATTATTTTAACATCTTCATAAATTATTATATGTAATTTTTATAATAAATATAATATAAATTTTAATATTTTACATAATATAAATGTATAAACTTTTAAGTCTAAAATTAAAGTTATATACTACTGATATTTTGTTTTATCTACTACTAGTAGTGATGAAAATTATTGGCAAAAATGATTTTGCAAACTAAGATATTTCAAATGTCCATGTTATTGGGATTAATAACTTTTTAAATGGAGCTAATTGAAATTTAAATTTCAATTACAATAAAAAATTCAATTAATTTGTTTCTTATTTTTGCGAGAAAAAGGAAATGGAGGTATGTTGAGCATTTGTGAGACCCTTGAAAGTGATTTTTCAATAATATTCAAGATTTGCTCCTATTTTGACAAATAATTTGTTTCTACTTCCCCAACTTGAAAATAGGTAAGGAGAAAAAGTATATTACGTTAGCTTCTCCCTCCATAAAACTCGGTTAGATTTGTACTAATAGTAGTATATAATTTTCTTAAAAATAGATGACTCAATATAAGCTTATAACATTTACATGTTTATTTTAAAATTGGTTTTGCATAAAATAAAAGGTATTAAGATGTGATATGATGAAGGCTTATGATAAAATTGAATGAGATTATCTGCAAATAGTGACGAGGATAATGAGATTTTTGGCATGGGAGATTCATATCCAATCAATTGGAAGGTTCAGAGGCCCGACCCAAAAAACACTCTTCTCATTAATTTCCTCAATCTGCACTCATTGCCTCGAAACAAATTCTCCCTCTCTTTTTCTCTCTCGCACGTGCTATTTCCTATCCTGCCATTTTTCTCCTCCACCTCAACCCTCGCACGTGCGCCCAAAGCCCCTGACTCTAAGTCTGTCCTATAAGTGAAATCCCCCTCTTCTCTCTCCCTTGATATCTCTTTTTTTTTTTTTTGCTTTTTTAAGACAACTTTATTGACTGGCTCAAGTTCTCATCTCCCTCTGACCATTTGACCATGTCGTCGGTTAGTTCTTCCTTTCGTTTGATTGTTTTTTGTTGGATTGCTTTTGGTTTTGATTGAGGAATACTAACATAGTCTTCCTTATTTACTGTTTGTTTCTTCCAATGTTTGAATCTTTTTCTCTTTCGGTATTTTTATATTTTTTTGATCCAACAATTAGTATAACTTTGTGCATAATCTAGGGTTCAATGGATTCTCGGGGGCCCTTAATAAAAGGGAAGGGTTAATGGGTTGTAATAGATATTGAGATTGCCTTCTGCATTTGATTATGTTTGCTTTGTTGAAACATCTGACTGTTAGATATCGATAAGGAATGTAGTCTTGGATTTTGGGAACGATGAAAAGCAAATCTAGTAGTAATTCCAACTAATTTTAAACGACCAAGCAAGTGATGTTAGCCAACAAAAATTGCAATTATGGGTTTTGATCCTTTTGGAATTTAGATAGTAAGCAGCTTAGGAATGCATGCCTATAGCTATAGATCAATATGACAGAAGCATAAGAGAAACGCAAGGTTTTCTTTTAGCTGTATAAATTGGTAGTTTCATAAACTCCAAATAAATGGTTTATGCCTATAGCTATAGATCAATATGACAGAAGCATAAGAGAAACGCAAGGTTTTCTTTTGGCTGTATAAATTGGTAGTTTCATAAACTCCAAATAAATGGTTTATGCTTAAACATAAGTTGAGTCATTCTACGTTTCCAATTAAATTTCTTTGAATTGTTTTTAGTTAGTTTGCGCGTGATTGCCTCATTTCTTTCTACAAGTGAGCTTGTTGAGGATGATTTGTGCTTACATGATGAGTCAATGGAGTTCATAGGTTATGACTTGGAGATATTACATAAGCCTGCTGAGAAATTATTATATTCGGTTGATAATTTGCATATGTTTACTGTTAATTCTCTCAGCATACTTATTATCAAGTCATGCTTACTGTTGCCATTGCAGATTAAAACCGTTAAAGTCAGCAATGTTTCTTTAGGAGCGACTGAGCGAGACATCAAAGAATTCTTTTCATTTTCTGGTGACATTGAATATGTTGAAATGCAGAGGTTGGTTGCCCTTTTAGTTCATAGCATCCTTTTTTATGCTACTTTTCCATGGGTGTAATGCTTATTATATGCTTATGCAGAGATAATGATGGGTCTCAAATTGCCTATGTTACTTTCAAGGATTCACAAGGAGCAGAGACTGCTGTTCTTCTTTCGGTAATTCAACTGTGGACTATCAGTCATTCCACTATAATGATTATTTGGAAATGGTTGTCTTTGGTTTCTTTGTTGATATTCAAAGTGTAAGACAATCTGCAGTGTGATTCTTTTGCAAATGTTGAACAAGGTTTGATCTATTGACAACATGGATAGCTTGTACTTTTAAATTGAATGCCTTGCTTTCCTTTTTGGGATTTTAAAAAAATGGACATCTTCCTTTCTGGAGTCTACTTTTAATTTTGCCATTTTTCAAAGCCTCAGAATCCATAAAACTTTAATATGAGAAGAAGTATTTAAACCTCCAAAGTAAAATGTGCAGTAAAAGGCTTCTTCTGCAACTATATGCCAAGTCAATAGATAAGCAGGATATCAATTTGGGAAAAAAGTAATACTATAGTTATTTAACTCTGAAGTATATGACAATATGGCATGCTTTAATATAAATTTTACTTACCAATGTATTAAGTTATAAACGATTGCTCGACTGACATGTATTCATGTTGCAAACGTGGGTTGGCTACCCAACATTTATTCGTTCTCTATATGGCATATAAGTTAAACAAGTGACTAAAGTGACTAAGTACTTGTGTTTCAGGGAGCAAGAATAGTTGATCTGTCTGTCAGCATTTCTTTCGCTCCTGACTACAAGCTGCCTCCTGCAGCTTTTGCACCACCCCCTGTAAGTGTCATGTCCTTTTGATAGTTTAAATGCTAGAACAAAGCTTACATTGTTTTCTAGTTACTGCAGGCAACACAAAACAAAACTCCTGGTGGTGCTGATTCTGCTATTCGAAAGGCAGAGGATGTTGTTACTGGCATGCTTGCTAAGGGCTTTATCTTAGGCAAAGATGCAGTCAACAAGGCAAAGACCTTTGATGAGAAGCACCAGTTAACATCAACAGCCTCGGCCAAGGTAGCATCTTTTGACAAGAAAATTGGGTTTACTGAGAAGATAACTGCTGGTACTACTGTCGTTAGTGGCAAAGTACGAGAAGTGGATCAGAAATTTCAGGTTTCAGAGAAAACCAAATCAGCATTTGCTGCTGCTGAGGAAAAGGTCAGCAGTGCAGGATCTGCCATAATGAAGAACAGGTATGTGTTCACTGGAACTTCATGGGTAACTGGTGCTTTCAATAAGGTTGCAAAAGCAGCTGGAGATGTTGGCCAAAAGACAAAAGAAAAAGTGGGAGCTGCTGAAGAGGAACGAAAAAGAAAAGTGGTCGATGACTTTGCGCAGATTCACCTATCTGAGTCCCCTAAAGCTTCTGCACCAAGTGAACAACAATCTTCTAAGCCTGCACCTGCTCAAGGATTGATCCTTTAATTTGCTGCTCCTGTAAATAGTTGTGGAACTTTGGTATTGAATTCTCTCATCTCTTTGTTACTCGCTTTGATTTCCGGTGTGGAACTGGTGATTGTAGGAAAAATCCATCGCATAGCATTTCACATAATTAACTATCTTCTTGGCCTGAATGTTGAATGAATTGAATATCTGGTTTTCTATTGGCAAGCCTCTGGTCTTACCGGATTATGATTTCGGTTTTATATGGAAACTATGTTCCTTTTGATTGGATTTACGTGATCAGATGACTAAGTCTGGAGTGACCGTGCAGTATCCAACAAAGCCCTCCACTTCCGTTTCATCCTCCAAGCCGCTCTCGTACTCGACCAATCATCATCGCTGTCACCGTCATCTCCACTTCCATTGACCTACCTGGAAGGCTTCCCCAAGCCCAACCCTAAATATATTTTTTGGTAATAACTTTGTTATGATCACTTATCAGTAAATTATGAAAGTTAAAAGTTTAAATAGCAATTTATTATATAAAAAATTTAAATTTTAAAAATTTTAAAAATAATTAAATAACAATATATATATTTTAGCGTAATTAAGGCTTATTGCCTCCCCTAATTTAAAATAATTAAATAACAATATTGTTGCTTAATAGTAGGTTTGCCTACTTTGGATGAATGAAAAACCAATTTCTCCTTTATGTGGGATGGGAAAAAATAATTAATCCAAAATTTTCTCCTTAGCTAACTCTAAATATATACTCCAGTAATTAATACTATTTAGTTTACAAGTATAATCAAAGCAATAATGTCTTCTAAACAGACAAAGAACGAGTAGGCATATCAATTTTAAAATTATTACTCCACATAAATTTATGTTATTATTTTTTTTTCTTTTTAATTTCCATCTTAACGTTAGCAAAATTAACAGGTAGATACGAAGATGTGGAAGAAAAAGTTATAGCGATGGCATTGAAGTGGTTGGGATTTTCTGAAATCCTATCAGGTCGACGATCGTTATTGCTTAACCGCCGATGGTCTCAATATGGAAAAGATTTCAGAAGTTATCTGAAACAAAAGATGAAAGGAGCACATTTTAGCGTTGCTGATATTGAGCGATATCGAAAAGCGAAGCATCAAGTTGGTGAAAATGGCTAATTATTAGCAAAAGCATAATTAATTTAAACTTCTATTATGGAGCCAAAATATTGTAGAATGGTACCTATCAACAAACATTGATAAGGGATCTTCTCCTTGTCTCAGTGAGCAAGAAGAATATTATTGCATTATTATCTGCACAATTAGAGTTTTTTTTTTTCCTTGAAAGGACATTGATGATATTAGAGTTAGAAATGAAAAAGTAGTGCTAAAATAATGCTTGGGAGGTGAGGTTCATTTCTATAAATAAGTGAATCCTAGCAAGCCATTTTCTCCCAAAATCTTTAACAAACAGAAAAACATATAGCTAATTATAATCGGAAAAAGCTATGGAGAATGTTTCTTTCAGGCTTAGTTTCATGATCATACTTATCCTTATTTCATCGAGTCAGTCTTTTCTATCTCTTTTCCTCTCACAAATATTATTATTGTTGCGTTTGATAGGTAACTCAAGATTCTAATATTTTTTGACAGGATTGGCATGTTGCGGTCTGTGTCCGCCGCACTGTTTAGACTCACGTCCAGGGCAGCCGTTGATATGTTCCAACCACGCTGAATGTGCGGATAAATCTTGTGAACTGGGTATTAGCAGTTGTGTCGATGGTTTCTGTAAATGCTCTACGTCTGACTCTGGTGGCAAAAACTAGCTCAACCAAGGAAAGATGGTTTTTCGAAGAATAATTCAAGACGACTGTTTGCGTTTTCTTCCTTTCCATTTCTGTTCAAGTTCTTTGTCTCTTGTTTGTTTGGTGTTTCGGAATGGGTATTTGGTTGTTGTACGTTGTTCACCCATGCTAAGTCTGCGAATAAAATTGGGCATTAGCAGTTGTGTCGACGATATCTGTGCATGCTCTTCCACTGCTGGCCAGCACTAAACCAAGGATTTCTTTCCATTTCTCTTCAACTTCTCCTTTTTGTTGGTTTCTTTGGTGTTCGAGTTTCTTTCCTAATTGGATGAGGATCATCACCTATATCTCTGTTTGGTTAGTGAATGAATTTTGGTCCTTTTTCTTTTTATGGAAAGGAAAATAACAATAAAATAACTGTGATTTTGTGAGTGAATTTCGAATATGTAATGTGGACAATTCCCTTCTTCTATATCTATCTATTTGGAATTCTGAAATCCATCTGAAAATTGAAATTTCTCTTTGAAATTTTCCATCCAAACTTGCTTCCTAAACATTTCTTTTTTTTTTAATGTTGAGCCAAAAAGCACATTTTTTTAGTGGACAAATAAAAAGAATGCTGAAAATTAAGATGAAATGGGCTCTGAAAAGAAAAGAAAGAAAATCTAGTCAAGTGGGCCTCATTTGTTCGTGCAAATCCAAAAATAAATTACAAAAACAATCTGATGAATTTTATTACTGTAGAGTGGCTAACATATTCCATATTTAATTGCAATGGAATGTGGATCCAAACCATGATTTCAACCTATATGAGGTATTAGGAAACAAGAAACGATTGGGCTTATATGACGAATTGGGCCGAAATCAAATGGGATAAAAAATTGGGCCCAAGCAAAGTGTTATTTTTTGCGTCCAAGCCCCATAAGAAAATAGCCTTCAAACACAAGCGAAATTTTCACCTAACAAAACACAATTGTTTTTGAGCCTTTCGAAGTACTTAAAATGTGAGAAAAATATCAAGGTCGGATGGGCCCACCGTCAAGGTGAGGGTGTTGAAAGAGAGATTGGCTCTCGTGAAATTGTGGTAAATTGGGTTTTATGAAACATTGGAGCTAAAAGAAAGAGATTTCAAATGGAGCCCAAGCAAAATGTTCAGTTCACGTTCGACCAGGTTAAAAAAAAAATGCACCAGGAGTCCACGACCCATGGGTGAGCTGGTTGAGCTTGCTTCAATTTTGGGTCACATCCCATGAAAATGAATTGGGCCGTTTAAGCCCGATTAGGTGCGCATAGTGCAATTTATGTTAATATTACTCTCACCACAATCTCAATGTTCTCTGTCTCAGGGACAGGGTGCAACCGTGCCAGTGGATTTGGGAATCTTGCGTTAATATCATCGGTTCCGTCTTTTCTATCTCTTTTCCTCTCACAAATATTATTATTGTTGCATTTGATAGGTAACTCAAGACTAATATTTTGTGACAAGATAGGTAACCCAGTGTCCGCCGATCTGTTTAGACTCACCTCCAGTGCAGCCATTGATATGTTCCAACCATGCTGAATGTGCGGATAAATCTTGTTACTTGGGTATTAGCATTTGTGTCGACGGTTTCTGTAAATGCTCTGCCTCTGACTCTGGTGGCCAAAGCTAACTCAACCAAGGAAAGATGGTTTTTCGAAGAATAATCCAAGGCAACTCTTTGCGTTTTCTTCCTTTCCATTTCTTTTCAAGTTCTCTCTCTTTTGTTTGTTTGGTGTTTCGAAATGGGTATTTGGTTGTAGTAGGAAAAACACTACAAATTCTTGATGGGTCAAATACTGTATTTACTTCAAGATATCATCAACATTATTAAGGAAAAATAAACGATACCCTTCACCATTATTATTATAAACTTTTTAATTACTTTGCTTTTTATGTTTAATTGTTATTGGTCCAACCAGATAAACTAATAATTTCCAAGCATTGGTGATATTAACAACAAAAAGTAAGCGGTTGCCAATGTTTTTCAAGAATTATATAATATATATCATCAGAATTATGGTACCTGTTATTAAATACCTATAATTTTGTTTTCAACTAGAGGTCCATTTGACCTATTTTCTCTTCATATTTCAGTGGTATTAAGATCAAGAAATACAAACCTTCGTTGACTTATTGCAAGAAACCTCCCCTTTCCGAATGTATAGTGGTCATTTGATGCATATTTAAAGTAACGATGAGACTAACACTTGAGCATTTGTCTGGATTAATTCGTGCATGATTTCTTATTCAAAGAGCAGGATTCAAATGTTGCATACAAAGGTTAAAGAATTAGAACTTTTGTCTAATTAGATAATTAATTATGTACACTGGACTTTTGAAAATCTGCTAAACATGGAGGTGCTGCATTCTTACTAGATTAGGCCCAAGGTTGGCTAAGCCCACAACAATCTAGAGGGGTCCTGACCAAATTCAAGGACTACACCTGTGACATCAAGTTTCAATCTTTTAAAATTTTTTAATCCAGAAAAAGGAAACTCAAAACCAAAAGGGCCACCGACCAGAAATTTACTAGAATTACCATTTGTGGATATGAATTACTGATAACATTTCCTTTTGGAGGCTTTTGGTTGGAAAAAATTTATAAATTTTTTTTCGAAATTTTGTAATAGGCATTTGATTTTTATATTTAGTTTAGGGTAATTCTATTATTAGAAAATTTGATAGATTTTTTTCGATATTTAAAATATCGAAATAAAAAATTCATATTTTTTTATAATATTTTATGATTACGGAGGGAAAGTTGCATTATTTTTAATTTTGACTTAAATAAAAAATTATGAAATTATTATTATCTTTTCGAAAAATATATTTGAGAGTGACTATAACTCAATTATATTATGATCATTTAAGATATTTTCTCATAGAAACGCATAAAACACAATATATATAATAAGGAAATAAAAAATACTTATGTCGAATAATATAAATAGTACAAAAAAGAATAAAACATGCATCTATTAGTAAAAAAGATGTGCGATGATGTTGAGTGGTCGACAATAAGCGGTAACGAAAGAGATGAAAAAACTAAAAAACAAACTAAATAGGTCGATGGTTTAGAGATTTACATGTAATGTAGCTTTTTATTATTCATTGTATTAACTATTGGTTTTTTAAGATTCAAGAATGGAGAATGAACCTTTAAAAATGATCATTTAATGTATTTGTTGACAGAAAATGCCTTAAATGATTCACTTAAATTCACTTAGAAAATAATTTAAAGAATAAAATTGAAAGTGATTATTTAAGGTATTTTATGTATAAAAATACCTTCAATAATTTTTTTATAAATAATAAAAAGGAACATTTTTTTTTTTTCGTGAAGTAAAAAAAGTGGCCAATGCATTAATTGATATTTTTTCTATTTTAATTTTCCTTATCAATTTTTATTTCTAAAAAAAAAAAAAGACCAAAAACCTTAATTGATGATATTTTATAAATTAAAATAGCAATCAAATAAAATATTTATCTTATTTTGTTACTAAAGATATCGTTTATTGTTTTGATATTTATTATTAATAAAACAAATGAAAAATTATCATTATATATATATAAAAGAAATTATAGTAATTATTTAAGATTTAATATACTTGAATTCTTTAAAATCAAACGAGTGAATTTAAATACGAAATATTTTAAACATAAAAAAAAATTTGTATATAATATTTTTTTAAAAAATTATACTTTTTCTTAAAATTTAAAATTTCATAAATCAAATGCTTCCTTCAAATTTTTATGTAGCTTTACAGTACTGAGTTTATTTATATATAGTTTTTAATCAAACATTGGCATCTCAAAATCATCAATTCCAATTGGGAGAAAGATACCATTTTTGGTCTTAAAGTTAATTGCATTTCTTGCCAGTTTGAAAATTCCTCTAACCCCCCAAATTAACCAAAATTTGCCCAAACTATAAATCTTTCCAAACTAGGCAAAAGAAAGGAAAGGAAGCAGGAAGACCAACGGATCTAAAATTATTCACACTAGCATTTGTTTGTTATAGTTTTGGATATTGAATAAAATATATTTTTTATTTAATTAAATCTATATATAATTTTTATTAAAAATTTAAATTATATCATATATAATAATTTAAATTATCACGGCTGTGATTTGGGCTTTTGCTTTTGCTCGAAAGGAGGACTTGACCCTCCAGCTCCAACTCTTTGACAATTTCCCCCCTCTTAAAGTTCATGAACCAATAGTTATTTCACATGTAATACTTTGGTTTATCCGTTACAGGTACAAAACTTATCCAATACAATTTGAAGTTGAAGTGAATAAAGATAGTTGAGGGGCCTTGTGGCATTGAATTTGAAGCATTTTTGAAAAGTGAAGGTGGGGCGGACAGTGATTGCAGGGGCCAGAGATTTTACACCGAAAACAAAGGAAACAGGCTGTAAATAGTCACGAGACAGCGTCTTTAAGGTCCACTCGTGATGGCGGAGCCCACTTGCACCCTTCCACAAAACATTATCTGCAACGAATCATCATTATCAACATCCACTATTTAAGAAAAAGAAAGGCTGGGAAATTGATCAATTGATGCGAGGTAGCGTACAATTTTCTTGATATGATAGGCTCAAAATTATTAATCATGGTCCCAATTATTAAACTAAACTAAGCTTCAACTTCACCCCTAAAGTTCAAAAAAAAAAAAGAAAAGAAAAGAGCTAAACATTTTTTTTTTTAAATGAAGAATTTGTGAGTTTGAACTTTGAAGACATAAAAAAGTGAAAATTCTTTTTGGTGTTATTTCGTTGTGGGACCCTACGTCACTAATTGGGAGGACCCAAAGACGTTAGAGGGTGGGACAAAGGAACCCAATCATAAAGCCTCCACGTAGGAAGGGATTGCCACCTCATGGGACCGCACTTGATCATCACCACCAGCATGCGCGTGATCTATGTCTCATCTCATCATTCCTTACTTTATTTCTTTTTCTTATTTTTACAAATTTGTGTAAAGTCAAAGAGAGAGAGCGGAATACAAGGTAAATGAACCAATTGAACGCTTCCGTGACCACCGACAATTTTTGTGGCTTGTTACTGACGTAACATCGTGCTCAACTCTTGACACGTGCAAACAATACTACTAATTAAAACCTGTAACAGTCGTACACTAATTTCGCCTCATATAGTCTCTTTCCAGGCTGCTCAACAGAAACTTATAGTTTATCAATAACCAACTATTCCAACGCCAAAAATATTTATTTATTCCCTAAACAATTTTTAATTACACGTATGGACATTTGGAGTATGGTAACAGGGAAGAAGCATGCAATCAAGAGTTAGATTATCACCGTTGGATGAGCAGTTAATGGGTTCCTGCGATTTGTACTACTTTCTAGCTGGCATCCCAAACACAACACGAGGAATGATAACGGTCCGAATTTCCAGCTGGATTCCACAGTAGAGCAGCTTACTCAAGAGTCTATACGCGCCCATCACTATCTTACGCCTCCAGGGCGCACATTAGCCGATTTGAATTCTTTAATTTAAAAATATTTTTCGAGTTTATTGTAATTTTATTTTTCTTTTATTATTTATATACAAAAACATATTTTATCTGAATAAAGATGATAAAACAACTTACAAAGAGCGCCAGCTAAGATATTTGCTTCACAATCCAGCAAATTAACATGCAATTTAAATTTACACGTGAAACAAAAAAATTTTGGGCACAAAACGCCTCGCACGTGCAGTAAAGCCGGCACGTATGAGCTTATGGTCAGCTAGAGCATGAATGCACGGAAGAGAAAAAGAGAAACGGTGAATGAGATAAACCGTGCCTAGAAATCGGCTATTTTCCGGTGGGGCCGAGACTTGGGAACGTATTTATCAAGTTCTTGCAAGTTCCTCAGGCTTCGAATCATCAAAACATCACCCCTCCGAACGCCAATAAATCGGCCGACATCGTCGATTTTACGTGATTCTGCAAATAGCGAAAGCAGAAAAAGAAATAAGCAAAAAAATCCGTTAAACCAAAGAAAAGGGTGAATTGAAGCTGCATTATACCTAAATGCCTTGAGGAATGCTTGAATCCATTAAAAGCAGCCAAATCTGAAAAAAAAATTCAAAAAAGAAAAAAACAAACGGTGTAGATTAAACTTGAATAACCTCGCTTGTCAATGATAACCTTTAGTTGAGTACATGAAAAACGTACCAGATTGTGAAGGATTGTGAGAAGCTAGGTAAAGAATGAGGAAGCAAAGGAGAGTGAGAACAGGAATGAGGTGAATAAGTCTCTCGGGCTTAGGATGCGATATAGACGACGACGTTGGAGAAAACGATGAAGGCGAAAACGACAATCGGCGAGGCCCGGTGTCTTTACGGTCATCATCGTCGATGATTACTCGGCGTTTCTGATCTTCGGCGACGGAAACCTCTTCTCCTCCATGGATGTGGAGCTTGGAGCTTGGAGAACCCAAGGATTGTCTCTGCATGTTCTAGAGAGAGAAGAAGAGAGACAAAGGTTGGTTAGTAAAAGTGAGGTTTAGTTGCGCTTTGGGTATTTCTTTAAGGAATAAGAGAGTTGATTTTCTTCTTTGTTGGTTTAAAATTAGGTTTTCTTAAGCCGTCGCTGTTTTAGCAATGTAGTGTTTACTTAAGCATTAATCAAAAGAAAAAAAGAATTTAATATAATAGTTTTAATTTAGCCTTTTGAAAGGGAAAGGCGATGTTGATTTGAGGGAGGCGTTTTTGGTTGCGTTGGAGGCGAAAAAATTGAAGCGTTGGGAGGTGGGTCTTTTTAATGAACGGCACAAAATTATTAGTAATCTTTACTCTTTTTATTTTTCTTCATTAAAATTGATGAGTGACCTTTACTTTTATTTATTTATTTATTTATTATTATAGTGTTAAATTCACACAAACCCAATTTGATTTGGAGCGTTGGCGAGTCAATTATAGGGCCTATAACTTTTAGTTGTTTAGTTTTAATATTATTCTTTAAAATAAATTTTATATTTAAAAATTCCTTTTAAGTTAAATTGAATGTTAAATAACAAAAAATTACTTTTCAATAAAAAGTTTTATTTTTAAATTTAAATAACAAATTTTTTACTTCTGAGATGGAAAATATATTTAAAACAAAAATTATTATATTATCTTTATATTTTATTATTATTTTAAATGACAATAAAATTAGCCATCAATAGTAGCTGTAATTATTTATTATCAAGAAATCTTTGTTTAAAAAATAATAACAAATTAAGGATACTAAATAATACCGTAGATATTTAAAAAATAAATAAATTCATTTGTATTAAAAGACAATAAAGATATATGAAAATGTTGGTATCAAAGATAATGAAGATCAGATATGGAAAAAAAGGTAATCATGTTAAAATTTTTTTGAAAGGATAATCATGTTGAATGAAAGGATAATCAGAAAAGATTGATCTAATCAAGGAAGGATTGAGCAAATCAGGGAAACAACAAAATGAGATTAATTCGTGAGAAATTAATGTAATAATTGATTTAATGTCGATAATCAAAGAAAAAACTTAACATTGGGCCTGAGTGTTAAGTTCAGCCCAATAAATCCACTTTAAAACCCTACCTATATTTGGGCCGAAAATGATTAAGGTCAGTCCACAATCGGCATGGAAGTTAGTAAACGGTGAAGATATAATTTAGAAGGATCTCAACGGCTGCGATCGGTGTTCGGTGTTTCGGTGATGTTAGCAGTTAGCTAAGCAATCAAGAAGAAGACGTCACGAGAGGGAGATCGAAGATTCTGGCGGCTCCCAAGAGCAGAAGCGGGAATCAGAAACTACCTGTAATACTTGCTGGAAAAGAAAAGAAACGAACGAAAAAAACTAACCCATTGACAAATTCCAAAGGAAAGATTATAAGGAAAAGAGTTGACGATAGAGAAGAAAGTAGGAGAGAAAGAGCGAGGGGAAAATGGTGCTGTGGGAGATCACATTGGGAACGGCTTATTTCTTGGGTCTTAAACGGACTTACAGGCTTGCTTTGAAGGTTCAGCGACGGGTTATTAGCCCTAAGCATCCTAAGATCCGACAATTCGTTCGAAGGTAAAGGGATTTGTCAGTTAACTATTTTTTGTCTATTGCTTTATTTCTTTCGATTGGTCGGTTCTGTATTTGATTAAGGGTTGGGTTTGGTTCGGTTTGCATCATTTCTTTGTTGGTTTAATGTTAGTGTAGAGATACTATCATGAAAGCTATTTATTATAATGTGATGGGCGCTTGATGAATCTGTATTAGGCTGTGATGAGGCACCTTGAAGAATATTTCATTTCTATAGGATTCAATCAATGCATGAAACATATCATCTTTAGTTCTTTCAATGTTTTCTTTACTGGGTCTTTGTGATGTTTGGCTTTTAGGGAGTTATAATTACTTGCATCATTTGAAAAGAAATTAGGAGAATTAGGGTCAGCAGCCTGTGAGAATTGATCATTGAGTTCAAATTAGGGTCTGTTTCCGTTTTTTTCATTGATAATATTTGCACTGTCCTAAAAGTCCAGGTTGGACAAATAGAAACTGTCATAGGACTCAGGGGATGGTTTACTTGGATCATTCCTTTTGTGGGACAGTGTGAATTTAGTTTGCAACATTTCTTAAGAGTTAGATCATAGATGCATTCGCCTTCAACTGTCACATAAGAAAGCCAAGTCAGTTCTAACTTTTACTGAATTGCATGTTCTAGCGAAGCACATTCCTCTGACCAACTAATTGGTTGTGGGAAGCGGTTTGAGATAATCATGTGAATACTATATATTCTTAGTTGTATCCAACAAAAATTTCCCCTGCAGACATGCCTTTGGTTTTTAATTGCGAATATGAATGTGCCACATGCAGCCATAATTTCATAACAATCTATATTTATCTGACAGTTATGACTGAATAGTGAAAGTTGTTCTTTAGGGCAAAATAAAAATTTGTGCCTATATATCTGTATAAAAGGGTCAGGTTTTTCTTTTAAGTTGCTATAGTATGTGAGGACTAAGGAAGAAGTCTGTTTTATCTGTTCATCAATCAACCCCCCACCTTTTTTGCCTTTCCAATGAGGTGCTTGCATGTTCATTAAAAATGTGTACAAAATATTTCATGTTTACTAAAACAATTTGATTGAGATCTAAACATGGCAAGCAGCAAGTTATACTTTCTCTCCCTCTCTCTCTCAATCTACCAGAGTGTTCTCATTAAAAATATCAGGTGTGCATCAACAGTAGATCAATTAGTGAATTGATTCTTTTGCTAATACGGTGCGGAATGAGTGTACAGCTCCATGGTTTTCCTTGCTTTGCTATTTAAACATTCCCCAAGTGCATTGTTTCTAAGAGCTAAAGATATGGGTGAAGCACATGAACTCATTCTTGTAATCTATGCCATATTCGTAAGAGTTTCATCAATGTTACAGCAACTTTAATTTTGTGATCCTGTTGCTCCTCCATGTTTTCACAAGTTATGAGTTTCATGTCTGGACAAGAGCACAATCCTGAATATAAAACGTTTGGAACTATTATCATTACAAGGATTTGGACTTGAAAAGTCTTTCTCTAACTTTTCTTTTCTAAATTGGAATCTGTTATCTTTTCTGTACCAGACGAACACATGCTGTATTTGATGTAGCACTCAAGTTTCACGAGAACATACAGCAGCGAGACTTAGAAGTTGGTCGGAATCTTGGTAACTGGATCCTCCGCTGGCTTGACAAAATGAAACCTTCAGCTCAGATCCGAGCTCCAACCCACCAGAAACCCCACCATAATGCTGGCAATGCAAACATGAACATTCCAAAGCAAGTGACAAACTCATCCTCATTGAAAACCCCTAGAAGCATCCAGACACCTCGAAACCCTGAAGCTGATAAACATCTTTTTAGCTCATCAACAAATATGTGGCCTAAATCCTTTCCTACAATTGCAATGATGATGCGGCCAACAAGGGTTGCTGGAAACATGACTCAATACAGGCATTTGAGCATCAGTGGAACTAACACATTGGGGCTGAACTACGCAAGGGGCGAAGGAGTTATTAGAAAGGATATAATGCAATGGATGCTGCACAAGTGAAGATGAAAGCTCTTTTCTATTTGCAATTGCGGACGTTCAAAACTGTGAAACTTTGGTGGAAGCGCCAAGTTGGGTGCCGTGAGACTGTTATTTTGAATTGACACGTTGCTTTGGATGCTTCAAGAATTCAGAAGGCGTTTTCATGGGATAATAAATTTTCCTTATCATCTGCGTTTTGGCATATTCTTTTTGAGTTTCTATTTTCCAGCATTCCATTGCTTGGAGAAAACATATTTATTTGATTGTTTAACGCAACGCTCTGGCATTGTCCTTGTGTTAAACAAAATCTGGGAATCGTATGTGCCATAGCCACACTTCTAATGCGTACGGAATTAAATGGGAAATTTCTTTGGTTAAAATTTTGTTAGAACTTAGAACCTTGAATTTATTATGCATAATTGCACTAATAGCAACCTGTTTAAAGGGGACCTATTGAACCCGTTAATGATTGTCCATGATTGAACAAGCTTTTGAGACTTTAGGGTCCAAAATCACTATTTGCAAAGAATACAGGGACCAGATTCCAATTCGACCATATCCTTACTATTAACGATCTTCCCATTCTCTCTCTCACCTTCTGTAGCGGAACTCTTGCAATTCAAGTTAACAATTTCTGCTTTTGCAAAGGTAGTCTCACCGATTCTTTCTAATCCTTTTCTTGGGTTTTCCCTTAATTTTCGCACTTTAAAATCTCATAAGCTTCATGTGATTGGATCTTGTGATCGAATTCGAAAACATAGATACTGATGACATTCTCATAATCATTGGGTTTTATTGTATAGAATGGAATTAGCGGATCGAGCAGTTGGGTTCTTATTATCTTTAATCAGCTTATCCATTTTCACATATTATACGTTTTGGGTCATCATCCTGGTCAGTATCTGATATACTGCACTGGTGCTTCATTTTTCATCAATCTAATTGAATGGTAGCCTGTTTATGAACCTTGATTGATTCTGATTTCTGACTATAAATATATTTGGTCATGTGTTTCAGCCGTTTGTGGAGAGTGATAATTTTATCCACAACTATTTCCTACCCCAGGAATATGCCATACTGATTCCTGTGTGTGCTGGGGTGGTGCTTCTTTGCTTCCTTTGCATGTTTATTGGGTTCGTCATGCTCAAATTCAAGAAGAAGAAAGCTTGATGCTGCTTCACGCTCTGTTTTTGCAACATTCCAAGGGTATATAGCATTTCCTTGTGTTTTGGCCTACAATTCCGACTAGAATTTAATTTTTCTGATGATAATTGTGTTCAAGCTATCATCATCTATAACATTATTATCTTTTGCTGCTGACTTGTAGCTTATCAACAAATTGACTCATCTTTCATTTTTGTGGCAAAAAATTCATTCAAACTCTGCCCAGTTTATTGGTATTCTAGTAAGTTTGTTAAATGTCAAATTAAATAGATTTTCATGAGAAGTTGAGGCCAAAAAAATACAAGAAGACTTGGTGCTCTTTCTCATTCTCAATTATTAAATTTAGTGATAGTTCCATATTGAACCTTTTAGGCTTTTAGAGATCAGTACTCATTACTTCTTGATTTCAGTTCTTATAAAAGATTAATCAATAATTTGTTAATTCTTGGTGTTGCTTCTTCCTTTTGTGCTATTTGAAAATTGGCTAATCTTTTTCATTGGAGATAAAGGACTGAAACTCATTATGGCTAACCTGAATACTTTTGTGCTCTGAAGAGATGCTTGCTTAGAGCCTTAAACCATTAGCTAAACCCTTAACCGCTTGCAGTTTGAGAATGAAGGAGAAAGGCTTTTCTCAGGTAAACGCTGTTGTCTTTTCGGCAAACATGCATACTTCTTCGATGTGAAACAGTTAAAGTCCAGCAAGCTTTCATTAATTCTTCTCTGATGCCCACCTCGAGGCTCCTTTGTCAGTATCCCAGTTAGCTGCTTTTTAATGTATTCCTGTTCCAGTTCTACTCTTCTTGTGAGAGTGATTGATATAAACATTGAGCTATAAACATCACAAATAATACAGCAATATATGCTCGTATGTAATAGATGGAATAGACATTCTCAATTCTAAAGTCAGCCTGATTGAACAATCTTTCAAAAGAAAAGGGCCTATACAATGCAAAAAAACATAAATAATTCTGGCGCAATTGCAACAGACTGATGCCAAAAGAATGATAACCAAAGTTCAATTTTACAAGGAATCAGCCTGTTACAATCAAGTTCTTACAGGACAATGAGCTATGGCCTGTGGGATACGTCACTCAAGTGTTGGAATGCATTTGGAATTGGAATCATCTCACCCCTGCAACAATTTAACAGTTTCATAATTTAATCTCTGATCCATTGAAACAATAGTTTGTTTTTGTCTTATTCAAATTAGTTGCTTAAAAAGAATACCCCAGGTTGATGCTAGTAAGCAACACAGCCGATTGATCAACATAAAGCATTTAGATAGTTTCAATTATGAAAGCATAGACACAATCAAGAGGATCGATGTTAAAATTGAAGCAACTGGGGAAATTCAGATCTTGGGCTAAGAAAGATTGCTACTTGTTAAAATAAAATCCCTCTTGTTTCTCCTCATTTCATATATACAGAACTTGTTGGTCGAATCCAAAACAAAGATCTAATAATGCATTATCTGAAATAACCTTGTAATTAACACCAAAAAGCTGAAAATTGTTCACTACAGGATTAACAACAACTAAACAAAAACCAAAGCAGAAATAAAGCCAACATACCAAAGAACTACTATATATTTATTTATATGCCTTCAAGCCCAAGAATTATCAAAAGCAGCGGAAGTAATCGCCTGTGAGAACTCCTCAAAACTAATCCTCCCATCCCCATCCGTATCGGCCTCCTTAATCATCCCTGTCAACTCCTCTACCGTCAGTGCATGTCCGAGTTTCGCCATAGAATGTGCCAACTCAGCTGCAGTGATAAAACCATTACCATCCCTATCAAACATCTTAAACAGCTGCTTCAGTTGCTCCTCGCTGTATGGTGACTTCTCCGACAGCAGCTCCGGAGCCACCAGGGCAATAAACTCCGAGAACTCCACCAACCCATTGCTATTTGTATCAGCCTTTTGTATTAAGGCTTCCACTTGGTCAGAGCTCGGTTTTAGGCCCAAGGACCGCAAAAGGGAACCAAGTTCCAGCTGTGTCAAGCTGCCATCGTTGTTCCGATCAAAAGAACGAAAGATTTCTCGTAGTTCAGCGATTTGCTCATCATTTAACTTCGCGGGTTGCTTCTCGCTCATGTTCATAAGAAATCTCAAATCTTAATAATCTCTATTCCCTAAACCTTAAAAAACCGAAGACAAGAAAGTCAAAAAGACAAAACCTTAGCAAACTAACTCGAACAAGAACTCTTGTACTTTGCTATGTGAGGCAGCTTGGTTCATCAGTTCCAGTAATGATCTGTCAAAAACCAATCAAGATGATTGTCTTCTGGGTTGATTTGTTTCTTTTGAGATATGATCACTTTTGTTCTGTGCCCAAAAAAGTGTTGCAGGATCCATTATAGCCTTGAAAATCGTTCTTAATTTTCCTCCATTTTTTATGGATCTTTCCTTGTTTACCTGCGACTAACCCAAATATCGGATCCCGAATAATTTCCTTTTTTCTTCAAGAAAAATATACAAAGATAATGAATAGTCCACCACAAAATAATTATTAGGAATAAATAATTGAAAATACGTAAAAGGCAACGCCAATTCCGTGATTAGTGCACGTCTTTCTTGCTGGCGAGTGGCTAGCTAGACTCTGTCAACCGTTACCCAAGGGGTTTGTCTACACTTACAAATCTTAATTGGTGGATGTGGGCTAATAGAATTACGACATCTCTTATCCAAAGGTTTAAAATTACATAATTAGACTTGCTTTAGGAGTTCATTTGCTGACACGGTGATGGGTTGTTGTTCGGTGAATTAAGGAGGTGGGATGTTGGTGCTGGCCTGCAGGCCCGCTTGCCTTAAATTATCTGGTTTGACTTATTGGGTTTATTTGCTTTTTTAATTTTTTTATAGTATACAATAATAATATAGAAAAATATTTAGATGTGATGAAATCTATTATTATTAAAATATAAATTACTTTTATTTAGTTATTTATTTTGTTCCGGTAATATTATATATTTAATTAGAAAATACATATTTGGTAAATATATTTTTCCAAAATTTAATTAGAAAGTTAAAAAGTAAGTATATGAATATCTTTTTTTTTTGTTTGACTTTGCAGCAAAATAAGTTGAAATTCCACAAACCTTTGGAGTTTTGAGTGCTTAGGCTTTGGGAAACTCGACTTAATAACATGTTTTATTCAAATGTTTTGTAAGCTGAGGTTTGAGGCACAAGGCAAGCCAGCCCCAGAAGAGAGTAGAGAAGTCATTAGCTAGACTATCACCTGCAAATCAAGCTAGATTAGCAATGTGTTTGTTGCTTGCTATGATTCACTCAGACTATTGTAATGATTCTGCAAAACACGTAATAAGATATGAATCCAACTAATGGAAAAGGCATTCCATTCCAGTCGATAGCAACAGACATCATCAACAAAGTATTTATACTACCTGCTACAATCAGGTTGGGCTATCAGATTGAAATGATTTCAAGTTCCCCTTCAATTGATGCATATGTTTTGAAATATCTGTCCCCAACAATTATTTTTTATGACCTAAACTGTAAATGTACATATTGGTGACAGCAAAAATTTCCTTTTTCTAAATGTAAATATCGACTCTTGAGTCTAAAGGAGGAAGACAATGTATATATATATATCCCTCTCACAGATACCATATATATATATATATATATCCCTCTCACAGATACCATATGCATAAGGCACCTGATATATATATATATATATATATATATATATATCATCTTCATAAATGCCCCATGCATAAATGCACCGGCTACTGCTCTAGAAGAGGACTCCCTTGTTTGGCAAGCACAAAAAGACCACCATCTCCTCTTGATATCCGAAGATCCTCATCAAGATATGTAATGAGAAGCCAGGACCTTGACCGGTCACCAGGAATGGGAATCTTAAGAGGTGGTTGGCCAGAAATGGTTCTTGAAATATTTGCCATCAAATCCTGCAGCGGGTTAAGAGATTGCTGCAAAGGCAACAAACTGATTTTTTGACCAAAAACATCCATATCAGCAGGAAGATCAATGCTCGGTTTGATCTCTGGAGGTTGCAGTGTACCTTCCTTAAATTCAACCTGAATGTTTTGGAAGAAATATTAGTACCTTTAGGACCAAATCTTTCATAAAAGAAGATTTCCAAACTCCAAAGTTTTTCAACTCTGATATATACCCTACGAATGGTAACAAAACTGAATAACATGACAATAATCATCATTCCCAGTCCCTTCAATTAAAACATTTTCTTCCTCATAGATTTATCTCACCAACAGAAAATTCATAGTATCATTTCATCCCCGCATCAAATATATGAAGTGGTAAATTTTTTCAGGAAGTATTAAACTACAATTCTAAACAGAAAATTTCTGTCAAAAGATTGCTGTCTTTGTTAATCTTTGAATGAAGTCAGTCTTGATTCTAGATATATCAAACAAACAGTAAGGTTTAGCTTAAGATTTACCTGTATTCTTGAAGGAGTTCTAACTTCAAATGTAGCAGACGCACTGAAAGAGAAATCAGCAAGAGGGCCAGACAATGTGGTGGAGTTCACAATAGAGAGGCTTCCTGTATCAATTGTTTGGCTTATACTTTTAACTTTTAACAATGGAGTTGCACCGGCTGCCAGAAGCGGCAACAGCTCAGAAAATGCAGTGTACCTGATCAGTTAGAGATCAAAATTACACTAAAGAATCAGAAGAAAGAGCAGTGAATAAAAAGTACAGAGTATTAGTTACTGATTTCCTGACATAAAAGATAGTATAAGGGCATCTTTTACCCATGTTAATGGTATTATTGACAATTATGAAATCAGCACAAGAATGTTCCATCCAATTGCTAATCTTCAATACATATAATGGGGTGATTCTTCAACACAAATTTACAACTCTTATCCATTTTTCTTCTACAAAGGAAAAGCATGAATTTTTTTATATAATATAACAATTATGTTACTGTTAATCTTTTGCTTTATAAGAACTTTTTAGAAAAAGAAAAAAAGCAATTATTCTAAGCAAAGAAGAAGACACTCACAGCAAAATCCAGTTGCCATCAAGAAGCTGAGCAGCCTCAACCGGAGCCCCGGTGGGATTAACAGCCTCCAACTGATTGACTAACTCCAAAACCTCAGCCCTTACCTCCGGTCCAGCCCGAAACCCCAACTCCGTCCCATAAACCGTATCCACCAAGCACCGCTTCAAATCTGCAACCCTATTATCAAAATCCTCCTTCTCTTCCTTTTCCTCCTCCTCCTCCTTCTCCTTCTCCGCCGCTGCCGCCTCAGCCCCTTGGGCAGCAGCGGCAGTACCATTACCCTTTTCCAGATCCTCTTGCTCCCACTCGTCCTCGTTCATCGGAGGGTCCGAATCCGGGAGCTTGGTGGTTGCGGGTTCCGACCCAAGCTCCGATTTCTCGCCCCATTCATCGGTTACGCTAGAGAGCGGGGTGGGTAGTTTTGGGTCGGAATCGGGTTCAGGAATAGGGTCGGGTTGGGAGCTGGAACGAGAAGTAAGAGAAGAGAATTTGAGGGCTTTGTGGGGTTTAGTTGGAAGTGGAAAGAACAGAGAGTTGGATTTGGGGGATTGAGAAAGGGAAATTTTTGGGGAGTAAGAGAGGAACAGAGAAGAAGGCTTTGCGGTGAAGAGAAGAGCCATTTTCTTTGTACGAGACAGTTCTTAATTTCTCATTCAGGTTTTCACTATATTTCTTTCTTTCTTTCTCTTCTATCCACGGCTTTCAAACAAAAAAAAACCAAAATTGCTAATCGAAAAATCTTAGATTTTTCTTGTGATAATTAGACTGCTAATTCGGATATTTTGACTTAATTTCGTAACTGGTAGGCTGGAAATTATAAATACTAACGAGAAGACCCGTAATGCTGCGGGTTTGTTTTACTCGTGTTAATAAAATTATTAACTATTAAAATAAATAATAATAATAAAAAATAATTACATCAAATTAAAACTAAAGTTTTAAGTTATTTTATAAGTTTGACACTAGAATGATTGGAAAAAAAACATATTAATATGCACCTCTGAAAACAAAATCTTGAGTTGTCATGTTCAATCACCAAGAATCATAATACGAACACTAAAATAGTCATTTTTGGGGGCGAAAATAATAAAAATGGATGCCTGTAGGCTTCTATTTGATCAACAGTCATTATCATGTTAAAAACAAAAGTATCCTTTTGACAGAGTTTGTTCAGGGTAAAAAAAAAAAACCAATTACTAGATATTTTTGACCCATATTTTGAATTTAAAAGCTAAAGCTTACCATTCGAATGCAGACACCGTAGCGTATTTGACAAATATGCATTGTCCACTCTTATATCTAAATGCACGGGGCTTTGACATGTGAAGTGTTAGTATATTTTCAGGATAAACAGCTATCTAAAGATTTGAAGGATAGAAATAGAAATCTTAATGAATTTTATTTTTCTTATCTTGAAAGTTAAATATTGTATTAGATTATGTAAAATGATAAATTGCTTACCTTTTATATTGTAACAGCCTTGATGCTTGTCTAAGCAGCCTAGTCAATTTTTCACATAAATAAAGAATAATTAGAACTATCAAGTACATCAATGCCTATCATTTCCAAAAGAATCAAGTTAATAGGGATGTTTAATATATATAGCATTGAATTGTTGGAATTTGATTTCGTGATCATCGCTTACTGTTTTTTCATCACTTGTGGGTTAGAAAGAGTTTAATTCCATGCACAATGAAGAAAGTGTAAACAATGACAAATAGATGGTGAGAGTACCAAAAGGCATCAAAGCCAGTTAACTTTTTGAGAGGCTTGGGGAGGTTCATCCTACCCCGAAGCAAGGCGCAGCTAAGGTGAAAGCTATTACCATTAACAACACCATTACAATCCTAGCTACTCTTTCTATTTGCTTTACAAAATGCCAGTAGCTATTGGGTTCTCTAAAATATTTTAACATTGGTTCATACTTATTACGAGTGGCATGAAGCAGGTGGGAAAAATCACATGCCAAATGAGAAATTGCATGTATGTCAACCCCAATTGAAATTCTAATTGCTATCACCTATAATCACATAAACCTTATTAATGAATTTAAAAGCTTATAATTCTTGACGTGTATGAACACATGTTCTCTGTTACCTTTTGGAAATTAAAGTTGTCATCAAAGGGAATGACAACACCTAATTTTGTTTTGTTCCTTAAGCAGGTGATGGTGTTTTGGTAGACTGGTAGCAAAATTAGAGCCATATTCAATTTAAGAATCTCAGTTGCACCTTTAGCAAAGCAAACACAATGCCCCATCACTTCAAATACGTCTTTCCTTCTTCGATATTTCACATATTTGTATGTACATAGGCCACACATAACCCCAATCCATAAAGCCATTACCCAAGCTCTCTGCTAGTTATCCTACAATAAATACTTGGTGTTGCAGCAGAATCTCCTCAATAGGTTGTTATATGTAGGCTTAAGCTTATAGCTTAGCATTTGATCAGGTTCTAGCTTTCTCCTCTTATATATTGGTTTGGTGCTTGTAACAAAAGCACTTTTAGATTAAAACATAAGAATTCTAGCAATTGAATTGAAGCCAAAAACTAAACATAGAGCCAACAACAATAGGGCAATAAATGCTTCAATTTACCATATGTATCTTATATGGTATGGGTCTAATTTTTCCATAATCAATATGGCATATTCCTTAGCTTGTTTCTGGATATTAGAGAGTTTGTTTGTAGAGGCACTGAGGTTGATAATTTATAAAAGTACATCGATAGTGAGATAAATTATGATTAAAAAATTGTTAAAAAAATTTAACACAATATATTTTTTATCATACCGCTCTGACTTCATCTTCAGTTGTTCTTCTATCAACATTTTTATCCACCCTGCATTTTGTTAACCACTAAATTTAAAACCAAGCTTTAAAGGCTATGCAAGGTGTACAACTTATTCATAAATAACTAATCTATGAAAGTTTTAAAAAGGAAAAGAAAATATGAGCAAATTTACATGTTAAAGAAAGTTTGAAGCCTGACATCAAAGCTTTGATTTGAGATCTGATCCCAAAACTCTTTTAGGTGAGCCTTATCAATTGAATCATCTTGAATGTTTTGTTTTTGAGTAAGTGCATCAAACAAAAGCCCTGCAAACTCTTTTAACTTTATTCTTGCCATTACATCGATTCACATAGTTCTCATTAAATTAAAACATCTGCAGTTATTTACTCATTTTCTTACTCCCAAAGGTACCTCTGACTGCACATATTTTTCTCCCACTTTTTGTGGCTATTGCTTACCTACCTATCAAGATCCAACAACACCAACCTCTAAATTCACATTAAAATGGCCATAATAGAGGAAACCCATCATCAAAATGGTCATAATAAAGGAAATTCATCTTTTAGAAAATCCGAAGTTCCTGTAAACTATGTTGTCAATGATCTGCTTTTGGCCATTATAGTAAGGGTTTATAACTATATTGAATATATATATATATATATATATATATTGTTATTCTAGACGTTTATTTGCTTAAAGTTATAGATTTAAGTTATATTATCTTGACAACTTTATATTAAGTGATAGATTGTTATAAATTCTGATTTTATCATAAGTTTACAATCATATTTGCAAATATGAATTTTTTTTTAAAAAATTTGCATGCAAATCAAATAAAAAGAGTATACTAAACATGCAAATAAAAAAAAAGGGGGGGGGGGAAAGAAAATTACCCATTTATAGAGAATTCAAACTTAGTTAGGCATTGTAGAAATTTCAATTGAATTTTGATTTTCGCCTTTTTTTTTACATGAAAGATAAAAAAAAAAAAAAGCATAACACTTGAATTTTGAGAATTCTTGATAAGTAAAATAATAATACTATTTATTTAATGGAAAAGAGAGCAAAAAAGAACTAGGATTTGTAGAAAGCATACCAAATAGGGCAAATTGGGATTTGCAGGATTGATGCAAGCAAAAAATTTATTAGCAAATTGGCTTCTTTTGTTGTGACAATTTCTTTCATTAAAGTGTTGGAGATATGAATACCAATACCAACAAAATCATTAAGACCTACCATTTCATCCAATATACAAATTAGCATAGGAAACAAATTAAAAAAAAAAAAAACCGCAAGCAATGATAAGATAACATACCGCTTCAGTAGCATCTTTTGTTGCTCTAAAACACTTACATTGTTGTTGATTCATTTTAGCCAGGGGGTAACGCCATCTACTGTGTGTTTCTAGATAAAAAGTTAGCATCGTCAAATAAATATAAATACATTTTATTTGTATGTCAAAATATCAACAAATCTTTCAATCTAAAAGAAGCAATATTTCAAATAAAAAATTAATATCGTCAAAAAAAAATAAATAAACTTTATTTGTATGTCAAAAATATCAACAAATCTTTCGATTTAAGATAAGCATTACTCACCAATAGTCATATATAAAAGCTTTCAATGACGGGCTACAACAAACAATCTATCAATGTTATCAAACATGCATTGAAATACTTTATTAAAAGTTGTTGATGAAGGTTGAATGAGACAAAATCAAATTAACCAAATTACATTCATTATAACAATTTTAACAAAACTTAATATTAAAAATTTTAATGAGTTAAGAGGGTCAAACCAAAAAATTTTATAAAGAAACAAACAAATATTCATTTGAAAAAAAAAAAAATCGTTACCTCTTATTTCCCCTATGCATTACTTTTATTTGATTTTTCTTTCATATTCAAAACAAATAATATATATATATATATATATATATATATTTGCTCACAGAAGAAAAGAAGAAAGAAGAGAAACCGAAAAGGAAAGACAAAAATTTTTAAAACAATGAAACAATTGAGAATATCAAAGAGACAATTGAAAGAGCCTTTACCAAAGGGACAGCTTTTATATATATATATATTTGTAAATACGAAATTTCAAGTTTTGAATTTAAAATTATTGAAATTTTTTTTTTCAAAATTTTCGATTAACTTTTTTTTTTTTGGCTAATTCATACATTTGTAGGTTCTTATTACCCTGATTTTTGTGGGTTTATTTTTTCACATTATAAAATTTTATTTGAAGAAGTGGTCGATCAAAAAAATAGATGGAAAGTGATATTTTCGGCGTCTAGGAGGTTGTTTAAAGGGACGATTTTTCTGAGAAAAAAGAAAGGAAAAGGCAAAGCCTAGTTGCAATTAACTAAGAAATAAACCGAAAAGGCCCAAAAACTTCGGTGCTTGAGTGCTGGGCAGTTGAGTTGACAATCTTTAATTATGACCCAGCAAAGGAGAGCTTTCTCAATCCTCATTAATGTCCTTGATCTTTACAGTGGTGGGCCGGCCTGTTTCTGGCCGATACTCATTGCTGTCTTAATTAATCAACTTGAGCCTGTTAGAGCCAAAGCTTTGAGTCATGGATTGGTCTTGGCCCAATGGACCAAGAAAACTCTCACGATTGCTCCAAAACAAATAGACCGACCTCTACCTTGTTCGTTTGGCAATTCAAATGCATGATGACTAATGACTGAAAGTGAATTGTGAATCATATTATGGATCAGAAATCCTGTACCAAAATAAATGTAGCTAATTATTTGAAACTTTTATTTCAATATATTTGAAGGATTGACTATAAATAGGGGGGAAGCAACTTTGGGAAGGAGAGGAATGCAACAAGCAAGTCAGCAGAGTAGCCCATCAAATGTGACAGTTGTGGGCCACTTTCAGCAACCAGATGTGGCAGTTGGACCATGTAGATTGGCTTCGTTTATTAATGAAAATGAAAAAAAAAAAAAAAAAACAATGGCTCATTCATTCGCCTGTATAGCAGTTACTACTGTTTTTTTGTTATTGATTATGAAGAAAATGTATCAAGCAGATTTGGTCATAAATTTGTAACAACTTTATATCCAACAGGATCTGATTCAAATACAGCAAATGATGTTGGATTTCTTGTATGGTTATGGTACCACAATTAATTATCCACTTGAGAAAATTGGTCTCAAAATTCTTTACAGTTATTTCTCATTCTCAGGTTTCAATGCTCTCTATTAATATCATGGATTCAATGAGCAATTCCCCTTCCCCTGGCCTATTTCTTCACAGCATTTCTAACACACATCTAGCCAAGCGAGATACCCTTAATTCAACCCATTAAAATTCTGGTAGTGTTGCTTAATGAAGTTGTTTCATAAATTCTCTGTAGAAAAAGTAGAAGAAAGGGTGGGACGATGGTCCTTGTGATAAGGACACCCTTGGATTTTAGTAGAAAGGGCGTCAAAACCCCATTTATGCCAAAGTCCCTTCCCTTCCTCCCTGGATGCAACCCCACCCTAGGGCCTACCCTACCCTTGCAGGTATTAGGGGTCAAACTTCAAGATTTCTCTTTGGCCCACTTCTCACCAAAATGGACGGCTTTGATCCTTTGACCCCTTTGACATTTGCTACTCCAAAACTTGATGGACCCCACAGTCCATAATGGACGGCTTTGATCGTTTGACCAAGTTGACATTTCCTTCCTCAATTTTCTTTTTTGACTCTTCTTTTCAGCAACAGTAAAGAATTTACAATTACCAATGAAAGAAAACTAATGCACGCGAAAAGAGAGAGATGGAATCAATTATAAAAATCAGAGGAAAGAAATTGAAAAGGTTTGACTTAAGAATTAAGATTACATTCCCCCATTACCCAAAAAAAAAAAAAAAAACAGTAAACGAGAGTCAGTGGCGTCGATCGGTTTCTATCAAACCGCAGTTAAAGTCCGCGTTTACCACTGACGGTAAAATTTAAATAAAAAAGAAAGCCAAGAAAAAAAAAAAAACTCAACCAATGAAAAACTCAAAAAAATTAAATATAAGCATAAAGTTGAAAGACCCAATCAAAGAAATAACAAATAAATTGTACAGGCAAATACGAGGAAATGAATTATAAGAGAGAGTAAAAACAGAAAAATAAATCATGCATGCAAATTAAAATTGTAAATAAAAAATCAAAGAAAACAAAAAATCGAACAAAATAAAAAGAGAAATGATTAAAAAAATAAAAATGATTGAAGAAAAAAAGTAGGATATATAAATTATTAAAATAAAACGAAAACAATTGATCAATAAAGAAATTTTTTTTTTTTTAAAAAAAGCAAGCAATCCAAAATAATGAAAAAAAGAATAACAAGCGGAAAATAAAAAAGAAAAAGATATGACACGTAACTAAACCAAATGTAACCGATAAAAATAAGAATAAGTTTAATAGTACGGATTAACATCCCGAAATTTATTATTACAAGAAGAAAGAGAGACATGAGAGAGATAGGGCCGTGGCAGTGAATGTCTATTTTAGGTTTACAAAGCAAAGTAATAGCAAAAGAAAAGAAAAAGGAGAGATTTTTTGTTTTCTCTTCTCCCTTCGGCAAAGAAAGCACCGACAACATTGGTGGTGGTATTTACTCCTACTTTGTATTATTATTATTGTTATTATCATTTAATTTTAAGTGTCTGGGTTTCATTCAACTTTTTTACTCTTTTTTTTTTTTTTTTTGTGCTTGGTTTTATTTCTCAAGCGTTAGTCCATGGTGGGTTTTGATGGTATATTGTCAAAATACGTGTTCATTGTTGGTTTTGAATGTGAAGTTGTGGTAATGTTCTCTTTGAAAAAGTTCACGTAATTCATTTTCAAAATTTATCTTTTTTGCATTTAATTTTAGAATATTTGTGTTATTTTCTTAGTGATCACAGGCTGCTTCTTCTAAATACTCTTTGCTATACATACATATATATATATATATATATATATATAGACGGTTGCTGGTGGGATTCTCTTCAATGACTCAATCAGTGCATGTTTAGTTTTGCTTGAAAGTTTAGTGTCTAAATTTGGAGTTTTTTTTTAAAGATGTCTTACTTTATTTGATTGTTGGAGTTGCCCGGTTTTGTGATGATTAAAGCAGGAGTGTCTTCAGTGAAGCCAGGAACACGATTTTAGTCTACTTGAAAATCTTGGCACATCAGAAGGAAAAGAGACTGGAGAAAATCAAAATGTATGGAGATTGTCAAGTCATTTCATCTATGGGAGGGAATGTGGTTTCTTCAGAAACCCTATTTTCATCTCCTATTCAAAACCCTAATTTCAACTTCTTGCCTTTCCAACCTTTACCTCCTATGTTGCCTGTAAGTTATTTAAATCAATCAAATTGTCATCTCTCCTTTTACTTGTCTAAGTTCTACTAAACCATTTTTCTGTTGTTTTTGAGTTTTAAATAGAAAGAAGAAAATGAGCTATTGCTGAGAGGGAAAGAGGGAATGGACAATGGGTCTGGGAGTGAACAAGTCGAAGAGAAGTCAGGGAATGAGCAAGAGAGTAATGAGCAACCTCCCAAGAAGAAACGTTACCATCGACACACTGCTCGCCAGATCCAAGAATTGGAAGCGTATTTCCCTCTTATCGTTTAATCTTTGTTCTCTTCATCTCAAATCTTTTCTGGTCATCCTTTTCTAGCAAAACGAGATTAACAGGGAAAAGAGTTTTGTTATAAGCAAAGAACATGCAATAAAAAAAGCCATTAAAAGATCAAAGTCGAGATACAAATTTGTCTCTTTATTTTCATGACACAGTAATTTTACCTTTTTTAAAGAACAATGTTTGTTTTGCAGTGTTTTTAAGGAACGTCGCCATCCTGATAACAAGCAAAGGATGAAACTGAGTCAAGAACTTGGCCTTAGGCCTCGCCAAGTCAAGTTTTGGTTCCAAAACCGCCGCACTCAGATGAAGGTGAAACAACTTATTGGCATCTTTCTCTCAAAGCTTTCGCTGTCATTCCAACCCTAAAATGTATTTGATATGTTCCCAAAGCTCTCTCTACTCCTACGACACTTTTAGAGCTCTATCATAAAGCAAAAACACGAGTCCCAATAAAACGCGTTGATTGCTTTGCATTAAAACCAGCTGAAATCCTAAGCGGCTGAACCTGGGGACATGGGTTATAAACATTCATCATAGCGCATGGTAGCAGCAGAAGAGGAAGGATCTTATTTATGTTGGGGCCACTACACGTAGTCTTCTATTTGCATTTACAGTCTGTATTCATAAATGTGGACTGGGTTCAGCATTAAACTCCTTTACCTGCTCATGTGCTTCTCAAAGGGTTCGAACAGTTAATGCAAATTATAAAATGCTCATCAGGGCTCTTAATTAGGATACTGTTTGCAATATAATGCTTGATTTTCATTCTTTTCTTGTTTTTTCTTTTGAATTTGTCAGGCACAACAAGGTCGATCTGATAATGTGATACTTAGAGCTGAGAATGAGTCTCTCAAGAATGAGTTTTACCAGCTTCAAGGGGAACTCATCAAACTTGCTTGTCCAAATTGTGGTGGTCCAGCTGTGACTGGAGGGGTTTCCTTCGAAGAACTTCGGACAGAGAATGCACGACTTAGAGAAGAGGTTGTTCACTTGATTTTCCCTATTATAATCAGTCAATATCATGCTAATGATCTTTTGCCATGTCATTGCACAGCATATTAGGTTCAAAGCAATGCGAAGGATTGTGCCTTTTAATAAGTTTAATTAAGAAACTATTTCATAACTAGAAGTAACTGGAAATTCAATATTCTATATTGCCTGGTGATTCAATTTTTTACCACGAGAAATTCACGATCTGATCTAATCTTGACAATGTTGATGTTTTTACAGCTGGAGTGGGTCAGTGCTATTGCGTCACGATATATTGAGAAGCCAATCCAAACAATGAGTGCAGCTCCTGCAATGATGCCGCATTTGGATTTGGATATGAGCATAGATCCAAGGCATTTTACAGAGCCTATGGTTTCCTGTGCGGAGATGATGCCTGTGCCTATGTTGCCAGAAACAGCCTCCTACCCCGAGAATAATAATCTAATTTTAATGAACGAGGAAAAAACTGTTGCAATGGAGCTTGCTATGTCTTCCTTGGATGAACTTGTGAAGATGTGCAGAGCAAATGAGCCTCTTTGGATCCGAAACAACGAAAATGGGAAGGAATTACTTAATCTTGAAGAACATGCCAGGGTGTTTCATTGGCCATTAAATCTCAAGCAGTGCTCAACTAAGTTCCGGACTGAAGCTAGCCGTGATAGTGCGGTCGTTATAATGAATAGCGTCACTTTGGTAGATGCATTCCTTGATGCCGTAAGCTTCCTTTCCTTGAAATTTCTTGTATATACAATTTTATATGATAACCATAGTTAATGGCATAAATCTCGTTTTGAAATGTTTTCTTTCATATTGCAGAACAAATGGACCGAACTCTTTCCATCTATTGTTGCTGGAGCAAAAAGTGTTCAAGTTATATCACCAGGTGTATCAGGAACAAATGGTTGCCTTCAGCTGGTATGGACTCACATGCAATGCTACATTATTTTCTGTCAAGTGCGCAATACTCTTTTTTATATTCTTTAAACCTAGTCCATCTTATCAGTTGCTTTGTTATTTTGTTTATTTGAGCAGATATATGCAGAATTGCAAGTTCTATCTCCATTGGTACCCACTCGAGAGGCTTATTTTCTTCGATATTGCCAACAACTAAATCTGGACGATGAAACTTACTGGGCAATTGTTGATTTCCCCTTCCATGGCTTTCATAGTAACTTACAGTCTTCCTTTCCCCTATACATGAGAAGGCCCTCTGGCTGTTTAATTCAAGACATGCCTAATGGCTACTCAAGGGTGTGTGCAAAATAACTTTCTATTGTACATAATGTTTCCCATCAAAATTTTGCATAATTTGATACTCAAGGAGATTTATTTAGCAATACTGAAAATTTAAAATGTGCAGGTCACCTGGCTTGAACATGCAGAGATAGAGAAGAAACCTGTCCATCAGCTATTTAGCCACTTTGTTTACAATGGGATGGCTTTTGGAGCACATCGTTGGTTAGCTGTTTTAGAGAGACAATGTGAGAGGAATGGTAGCCTCATGGCCAGAAATATCACGGACTTGAGAGGTTCCAAAAATTCTCCTCCTGAGTCTTGTCTGCAACCAAAACCTACTCCTTTTTTAATAATTTGGTTTTCAATATAATTTGCATTAACGAGATATTACCCTTTCTTTCATTTTCAGTGATACCTTCTCCGGAAGCAAGGAAGAATTTAATGAGGCTTGCTCAAAGAATGATAAGAACATTCTGTGTCAACATCAGCACTTCCAGTGGTCGTTTGTGGACAGCTCTACCAGATTCCTCGGATGATACTGTTAGAATCTCAACTAAGAAAGTCACTGAACCTGGCCAACCCAATGGACTGATTCTTTCTGCTGTATCTACTACTTGGCTGCCATATCCTCACTACGAAGTCTTTGATCTTTTGAGGGATGAAAGCCGCAGAGCTCAGGTTCTATTTAGCTCTAATTCCATTTTTTTATCTTCTTCCTGAAATGCAACATTGGTGATGACGGCTGAATATTAATATATTATTATGCAGCTGGAGGTTTTTTCAAATGGGAATGCCTTACATAAGGTGGCTCACATTGCCAATGGCGCCCATCCTGGAAATTGCATTTCACTTCTTCGCATCAATGTAACAATTTCCTTCTTGGCTTATTAAAAGGTAAATTCTATGTTGTTTCCTTCTTTGACATGAAATTAAACCTTGTAACTATTAAATATAGGTTGCGAGCAACTCCACACAGCATGTAGATCTGATACTACAGGAGAGCTGCACTGACCGATCCGGTAGCCTTGTTGTATACTCCACTGTAGATGTTGCTTCCGTCCAGCTAGAAATGAGTGGGGAGGACCCATCCCACATCCCATTACTTCCCTTAGGCTTTTCCATAACCCCAGTGGAACTCATCAGAGATGCTAGCAGTAATGAGGGCAAATCAGTCCCACCATCTGAAAAGGCAAACGGACATATTTCAGGCAGTTTACTCACGGTTGGGCTTCAAATTCTTGCCAGCACAATTCCATCAGCAAACATCAATTTCTCGAGCATTGCTGCCATCAACAACAATTTATGCACAACCGTTCACCAAATCAGAGCTGCTCTCAGTAGCAACAGCACCCCTAGCTGCCCCGATAATGGAAATGGTGTAGGCTCTTGCACTGAGGGTGGTGCTTCTGCACAAGAAAAATAGTTCTGGTTCTTCCTGAATTACCCATAACATCCCCATTTTTTATGATTTTAAGATGGGAAAACTAATTGGGGAAGTTATTGGTAATTTAATCGAAAATCAGGTGGTGGAATTGTCAAGTTAATTAGTACCAGTCGTAATAATGTATACGTAGTTGTTTAGGTAGTGAAATTTTTTATAATAGATGTGTAACATTAGCTGTGGATGATGGAGGGTAAAAGGCTAAAAAGAAATACTGTATATTGTCAATGTAATAGCTACAAGGAGTCAAGAGCGCACCAGCTGTGACCCTTGCTTTCTGGCAAGGCCTAAAGATGAGTCCTCACTAATTAGCAAGGGTGGTGGTTCGGGTATTGACTTCTGCTTTGTTGCCCTCTTTTGCTTTTTCTGAATTGAATGCTAGTGCTAATTTGTTCAATCATATGTTTGCTGTCACTCCAATTCTCACTATTGATATATGCTAAAGCCAGTGGATTGGGTTTTTGCACCAATTCTTGGAATGAAGAGTTGTGATTTGGAACCAGCTTTGGGCCTAAGCTCGAATATGGAGTTGAGAACAAAGCTTTGGGTTAATAATGGATTTATAAATTATAATACCTCTCAAACCATCTCATAATTATATGTTTCCGTCGCTCTCTTCCCAATTCTTTTTTGAGGTAGAAACTGCTGTCTAATAAAAACTCCAAAAGGCCCTTTTCCTTTCTTCCCAATTTTCCTGGAGATCCTTTTAAGGTGAAGGAAAATGTTTTATTCGATGATGGTTAAAGGGGTGTCGGTAATTTACCTGATCAACTTTTTCTCTACTAAATTTTAAATTTTGTAAGTGACTCAAAATTTTTTGAAGTTAAACCGTGTCAATCAACTTTGGTTTTTTGAAATTATAGCATATGTCCCACTAACATGACCATTTGTACAAAAACATTGACAGGTTTGACAACTTTCCTCCAAATTTCTGTTGTTTCATGCAATAGGAACTTTTTTGAGAGACATAAAGAGAGGGAATGGCATTGGACATTTGGACCATAGGGCATCACTTTCTTCTTTGAGGTTGAAACTGTTGTCCAATCCTTGTAGAAAATGGACACAACAAATGTAAATTAGGAAGATGCAACATCAAAATCCAAGGCAAAGATTCTATATTTCTATGCTAAGGAAAAGGATCGATCCAATCAAATAGAAGCCAAATCCAAGTAGTTGGGTTTCTTCGGATTCATCCGTTCAAAAAGATGGCCTAACACTGTCATTGTTTGTTTACTAGGTCAAAATTGAAGAAGAAAAAGAATAAATTCTTGACGTCTTTGAGCAAATCAAATCATTCACTCTAACATTCTAGACAAAAATATAGTGGAATTTGCAACCCATCAAAAGCTAAAGAATTGTGGGTTGACTCATGGTAAAGACGTATATTTTTTTGGAACGGTTGTGCATCTAAGTAATCGAGCTATATATAATAAATTGACCTTTTAACATAATTGATTTATCTAAAAATTGGAATTATAATCGGATTAAAGTAATATGGTTTATATTATTCTATTAATTAGGCAATTTGGATTTTAATTTATAATAATTGCAATTTTATTCAAAATAAGAAGTCTCAAATTAAAATCTCGTAATCCTAATCATACAGACAATATTCGTTCACATAAGGCAAATGCATATATAGGATCTTAACCTAATTGTTTAAGCTGCAACTTAGGAAAATAGCTGGCAAAATTAGTGGTGACCATCTCGATTAGACCACCCAATACTAGTATCTTTCTGAATTAAGTTATTGCAAACTGGATCAAATTCATCCAAACTCGAATTTCAAACCATATGCAAATGGTAAGAAATTTATGGGCATATTCCTTTTGATCTCCCAATATTTGTTCGGGTTCCACCCAAAATCTGTCATTAATCTAACAAATCCAAATTATATGGAACATGGGTCTACATTGAAGAGCTTTGATTCCATAAAAAAAAAAATGAAAATGGGTTTAATTAAATGTAGAAGGAGACATGATTAGCCAATAAAAGAAATGCTGGCATGCTGAGCTGTAAGGGGAATCAGAAAATTAAAATATGAACAAGAGAACAAAGATGGAAATAAACAAAAACTAAAAGGTACAGCCGACAAAATGACAAATTGAGAATCTTTATGTTCTTTGGAGCCAAACCCAAAATTGGCCTCTCATTTTGTGCCTTGTCACAAACGACAGTAAGCTCATAAAATAAAGATAAAACAAAGGAACCCCATCCCCCTCCCAACTTTTCAGATGTGGCACAGAATTACAGGTGAGCTCTATGTGGATACATGGTGGCAGCCAGCCACACCCAAATGTGAACCCTCTAAAACTTTATTTTAAAAAAAATTTGGGTTTTGCTTTTGCTGCATTTGGGTATTTGGAGAAGAGCAACGCGGAGCTTTCCTTTGCCATAAACAATCTTTTTTCTTGTTCTTCATTTACCCATGTTTTTACCTTTGATTAGAGAGGAGAAACCATTGACCCATGAGCTGAAATTGAGGCAAAAAAGGATAAACAAGTTGTTTAAATTCAAAGAAAATTTGGTCAGTGGATTGAAACAATGATGGCTTGACTTTGTCAAAGCTAATAAAGCCATTTTTGCTTTCCATGAAAAATGAGCAAATTTAATGGTAGAAGTAGACTTGTTTCGGTAAGCTTTTCAGAGGTGTCGGCTATGTTTGTTTGGGAGTGTCTTTTTTTGGTCAAGAGATCAGCATCTTCTTCTAAACCTTGTACTTTGTCTCCATGTATGAAATCTAGGGAAGTATAAGAATATCATGTGGTGGACTGGTCGCTGTGAAAATGAAATTTGTGGGGATTTTTTTTTACAATTACTTTTAAAAATGTTGTAATTGAGTTTTGAAATTATTTGTCTGCCCAACCTGTGTTCACAATACAAATAAAAATAATAACAATTTGGGTTCACAATCGACTTGGTCAAGCATTAAACTTAATGATTATAATCATATACCAATTTGTTTTTCCTATTAAAATTTGGTTTTTCACCAATTCTTTTTTTTAATTATTATCAATTACAAATAATTAAGTTGGAATAGTTGTTACTAATTTTGTTAAGGACTAAGGAGCACAAGCACATGTTTTCACAATATCTTATGCCCACTTGCATTACTTTCTAGGTCATGATGCAATTATTCTAAAATTGATGCAAGAGAATCCCAAGTTTCCCATTTAAACATTGGTATCAATGAAGGCACATGAACGCTCATCAATTCTTCCCATCAATGATGTAAATTGATGTATATGATTATATATTCCCTTTAAGCTTTAAATATTATTTAGTTAAACAGTTGACTTTTTTTTAGGCATAATCCTGACATAAAATTTGTTTGGACTTATTTGTAATATAATGGATAAGAATTCATCATCTTCCTTTACCCTTTTTATGTGAAAAATGTACTTAGTTTGTAGCATCTTCCCTTTCCCTTAATATCATCTGCCTTTGACCAAATCATCAGTCACCCATTGCTGTTTAAGTTATAACTCATTCATCAAAAGATGAGAAAACATATCATTAGTCATAATTTTCATAGACTTCATAGAGACACTATAATTGGTTTTAAGTTCTGCTTTTCTAAATCTGTCTTTATTTCCTCTTCTTTATTAGATTGGTTTCACTAAGATATTAATTTGAAATCGTTAGAAATTGAATTTCCATTATTGAAATTAACAAGTCCATTATTTTATTAACAAATCACATGAAAAATTTTCATTGAGTAATTCTATTGATTTCTAGCATCCTGACAAAATATAAACATAGAGCTGAAATCAAGTTCCTGTAGGATAAAGCTCAGCTACTTTCCCCTAACTGGAAGCAAAATTTTCCTTCTTATCTAAGTCTTTTTTCCTAGTACATTCCAGCTGACTATCATTTTCCAAGTTGAGCTCGTCCACCCTCTCATTTCAACTTTATAATGTTTCCTTTTCCTGCTAATGTAGTCTTGTTTCATGCTAAAGTTTCTAAAACCACTCTCATCAACCTTTGTTCAATAAGACCTTGTCCATGCCCTAGAGAAACGACCGACAACGCGCTTAATCTATAGCTGATTAAGACACCACTAATTCAAATTTTGATGTAACATGATTTGGATGATCACCAACTTTTTCCTTACATAATTTGCCTTCCAATTTACGATATTGAATATTGGTGGGGGTTATTGGGGGCTCACCTTTTTGTTCTATAGTATTAGTTAATTCATGTAAAGGGGGTTGAATTTTATCCAAATGATACCTAATATCAACCAGATTCCTTAATAAATTAGTGTTTTTTGTTGGCATTGCTGTTGTTAACTTGGAAAAATACATTATTCTAACAAAGTGGATATAGAGAATAGTAGGTAAGATGATGCATATATATTTATTAATATGATAAGGTTGCTTGATTGAATAGATTAATGTGTATTGTTTTTGTTGTGGGCTTAATGGAATTGGTTAAGATTCCTTGTGGAATCGGCCATTGAGAATGTGACACACACAAAGAAAGAAACAAAGAGAGAGAGAGAGAGAGGAGACGGCTTTGGCGTGAATCTTCATAAGCAACTAAACAAGGCTTTTCTTTGGTTTCATTTCAAGAAACGTTTTTAGCTTCGAAACTAAGTTTTGCCCACCGATCTGACAAGTTACTGTTAAAAGACTTGAAGAAAGAGAATTTATAAGTATTGGTATATGAAATTTTAATCTTATTAGAATTGAATTTTTTTTTAAATGAATGAATCATAAATCGTAAATATCAAAAAAAAAAAAAAAGCAGTTGTAAAAAAGATATATGAAACATTTATAGCCTTGTTTATGTTATTTTTATGCTGCTTTTTTGCCTTTGGTTCAAGAAAGATATAGTCCTTAAAAGAAAAAAAAGAAATCTTTATTTCGAAATCAAAATCTTTATGTATTCGTAAAATCTTTTTAACCATTAGATCAATAGACGAAAAATAATGATTAATTTATTTTTACTATACAATCAATTAAAATCTCGAAGAATCGAAAACATACCAAAATACTATTAAATCTAAAAATATTATTCACATGAAGAAAAAAAAAACCTAAATATATTTACATTTAAAAAACTTATGACTAAACCTACTTTAACACTAATCAAATAGATATTATTATACGTTTTCTTGTATAATCAAACAATCATTTAGTGATCTAATCTAATTATAACTTATGTCATGTTTTACACGTATCTTTTTAACTCTAATAATCGGCTTAATTAGCTTAAACTTTAAAGCCATGAAATTTGGTAAACCCATTTTTGATAAAAAGTTTCCTTCAATTTGGCAATTGAAATTAGTTTTACTGGAACTTTGGTCAACTATTTATGTGCCTAGAAATTGCAACTGATTAAATTTTAAATTTTAAAATTATTAAATGTTATTTTAAAAAAATACTTTGCATCAATCAATTGTGTCTAATTATTTGCATTATCACACATATCTTTATATTTTTTTAGCCAAAAAAATGAAAATTTTATACGTCTGCATCAAAAGTATTTTATGAACTTTTGAAGAAACTAATCAATTATTAATCTTTTTGGTGTTATAATAAGTTATTTATAATTTAAGTAAGGTCTAACCTCGATTGAAGAAATGGGAAAACCTTAACCCCTTACCTATTTTCTTATTGACCACGTGGACTTGAATTCCCATCAAAAACAGTACCCCACTTTTCGACCTTTTGTAAATCTGCATACCTTTGGAATCATAGTTTAAATTATTGTAAAAAAAAAACCCCAAAATTGGGTGGGTCACTCTTTGTTGAAGAAGGACTAATAAAAGAGCAATTCATTACATCTATGAGATGCATCAAAAAATGTATGGTACAAGTATCTACCCACTTCAAGCCTACCCACGAGTCAGTCTCATCCAACTTTAACTAACCATGGGTCTCAAGGCTTGCTATCGCTTAAATTCTAACTCAATTCAGCATCAAATCTCTAAAGCGTGAACTCTTTTTTTTTTTTTTTTTTTTTAAGGCAGTTCGGTAATGGTGACTAATGCGGTGGAGATTTATTCGCCCCGCATTGAAGTCCCCCATTCATTGCCATCCTCACCGAACAAGATTTTAGTATGTATGAAATTTTAAAATAAATAAATAAATAAATCTTATGGACGAATCAATCATAAAATTTGAACTCAAAATCATTTATGAAAGATTTTATTTAACGTTCGTTGACAGAATAAGTAAATGATTTTGGTTAACGGATAATGAAGCAATTATCAAAGTTTTTTCCTTTTTTTTTTTCTTTTTTTTTGGTAAGGAATGGGTGAATACAAATTCCAATTGAATACCAAAGGATTGGTTAGGAAGGTTACAGATAGTCCTCCAAAAGGAAAAAGACGTTTTGTACAAATTGTATGCTCTACCAACATACAATAAAAGATACATCCCCACCCTCCAAAAAAGTGAAAGGGCATTTGGCATTCAAGTAATTTTTACCGTTTAGTTAGGTTTTTTTGTCTATTCTAACAATTTTAAAAACAGAAATCATATTTATACTTAAATTTAATAATTTATATTTTTATTTTTTATTTAATATATATAATATAAAATTTATCGTATTATAATTCAAATGGATACCTAAAATATTTTATTAAAATTTTAAATAGTATTTTTTTATAATTTTTCTATTATCTTAACCTAAAACTCATGAACTTACCGTAATGCCCTTCAAGCAACAGCCGTCGAGTAAAGAAAGGGAGTTGCCAAAACATAAAGCGTAGACGCGAAGCAGAGTAGGGTTGCAGAGTGGTTGGAGAATGGTTGATTCCATAAAGAGACTACTTTATTGTGACAGTTACTTGAAATAATAAAAAAAGGGATCTTTTGTCAGTTGTGCCAAAAATATTTTTGCAGAACAATTTTCCTCCCATTATCCACAGAAAGAAAATTTTTTGAGGGAAAAAAAAAAAAAAAAAACCTCATGCTTTGTTGTATGATGTAGTATGAAAGAGTTTGACTTTCATAAATGGTGTGAACACACAATTGATTTTTTTTTTAGCACAATTTCTTTTTTCTTTGGGTTCCCTTTACGTTTTCATAGTCTCCTTAATTTCAATATTTTGCCGATTAAAATAATAATAAAATATTTTTAAAATTAATATTTATTAAATATCATTTTTTAAAAATATTTATGTAAGTCAATTAAAAAAATCTTTTTCTCTTCAATTTTGGATGAGCTGCTTTAAAAGTGGAATGATACATTTATAAATTATGAAAACTTAAAGTATTCTCTTCAATGTTCTGGCAAAAAATAAAAATAAAAAATCCTAATAAAATATTCAACAAAAATATATCTAAGATAAAACCAATCAAAGAATGTCGAAATTAATTTTTTCAAGATGCCTTTTAAAGTTTAAATTAATATTTTATTAATAAATAAAAAATAATTGAAACAAAAATAAAAATAACTGTGAAATTAAATAATATTTTAATTTTTATGAAATCTATATTACTTCTATATATAGGGTATAGAAATTATTACAATGCACTTATGTAAGATATATAAAATAATTTACGGGTATATCGATGAGATATTGGCTTAATAATAAGAACGAAATTTTATAATATTTAAATTATAGATTTAAATTTTACTGAATTTTATTCAATTTCATATAAGATTTGTCTAATTATTTTATAGTTTGTTGATTAATTATTTAGTGATTTCCTATATATGCATATAATATTTTATTATGATTATAAACATTTTTTTATTTTTAATTTTAAAAAAAGTAATTTAGATTATGGACATTTTAAAATACAAAAGAAAAATAGTTTAAACAATAAAACAAAAATTATTATCTTTCAATAAGAAAAACCTCTTTATCTTAAGTTTTACTTTTAACTAAGTTAATATTTTTAATTAAACTTGTGATTTTTTCTATATATTTCATTTTAAACTTGAGATATTATGTTATCAATTGAAGCAACTTATCGATTTATATCTATGCTATATATAATGCGGTTAATTGAGTTTTTTGTCACGAATTAAGTAAAATCAATACAATTAACAAATAAAAATCAAAATAAAAATTGAAAATATTTATATATTTTTTAATTTTTAACTCCATTTTTAATTCATGTGCATTTAAAGAATTTATGTTATAACTTTTTTCATCACATAATAAATATATTAGAATTTTTTTAAAAATTATACTCATAATCAAATATTATATTTAAATAATTAATTAATATATTATTTAATAAATAATAAATAATTTAATTAAACAATTAAACTCGAGACTTAATTATGATTATATATATAAATACAGAAAGGTAAAATTTTAACAAAATGAAATGTTTAATTTTGAAATTGAATTCTAAAAAATTATTTTTCAAAATTACACGTGTATGCAATATACGAATCTTATGCCTTACTTAATAAATAAAAAAAAAAAAAAAAGGAAAAGTGATTTTCCAACTCTTTTCACAGAGCATTTTAGTTTTGACCAAATAATAAAACACGTTTTCCATATTCTCAAAACCGGAAAGAAAGGTAAAAACCACTTTTGCTTAATTAATATTCATTCATCGAGTAGATATGATAATTTTAGTCTATATTTAATGATACTAAAAAAATATATAAAATGATATGATTTAAAATTTATATAAAATTTTTGTATGAAATTGAAAAATATAAAAATATTTTATATTTATAAATTAATATAAATTATAATATAATATTTTTTATATTTTATATGTGTTTAACGTCAATATAAATAAATTAATAAAATATAAAAAAATCCTAGCCGGCTAAAAAGGAAGAGACTAATGCAAAACGCTGATTGAGTCTGAGTGTAAAGCCGAGCAGCCAAATTTTCGCTTTCACTAACTGTGCCGAACTTATCATTAGACCAACCCCCGCGAAACCTCTCAAAAAGGAGAAAAAATAAATAAAAGCTTGAAAAAGCGAAATCTCTGCCACAAAATTTTTAACCAATAGCCTTAAGAGAGAGAAAATAAAACAAAAACGAAGGTGGCTTCGTCGTTATTTTTAAGTTGTTAACTAAGCATAGTATTCCTCGTGAGAGCGTAAAGCCTGAGCCAGTTATATGGTCGCGTGACACCCTGCTGTAACCGCCAGCTATTTCCGTTCTGGCGACACCCACAGTATCACAGAAAGCGCCTAACCCCGCCGCACCTTCTCGTGCCACGTTTATTTCCTGTCCTCTTGATTGAGCCACGTGTTGAGTTCACGTTTCTTTGTGGAGTCACGTCTGATGACGCTTTCCCTGTAGTTCAGTTAAATTACGGAATGATTACAGAAAGTCGAAAATAGCCTCCTTTTGAGTACAAAATCCGCAAACCAAATAAGGAGGCGTTTGTCTTTGCCCATGGTAGGCAAACTAACCAGCAGGTCGGTGAAGCTGTTACTATACAACTCAGCTGTTTGAAGCAACAAGTAAAGGCCAGTTGCGATGCCGAATCCACGAAGTTGGTTACTTTTTGACCGTTAAACATCCGTGATTGACTTCAGAGACTGCCGGATTTGATTAATATGCACATTTAGATACTGTGCCTAACGACACGTGATAATGTCGTACTTCCAGACTCTTTCTTTTCTCTGACCAAAATGGGGACCAGGAGACTTCGATGCCACCGTCAGGATTCATTCAACTTTAGGTTTTTGTATATTCGTCAATTAAGATTTGTTCAAAGGTAATGGGGTAAAAAGGGATAAAAACGGATGGTTCCTTATAAAAGAGAGAAACGCGAAGGAAAGGAAAAAAAAAACCGCGTTTTAGCCGGCGACGCGTTTGGTTGAACCGTCTAACAACCACCACTTTCATTCACAATTCCCTTCTACTCCTTTCCTAATTTATTTTTATTTTTTTATATTTTAATTTAGCGTTTCTTAATTAAATAATTTTTTGTTTAAACAATATTACAGCTCATCTAAAGCACTAATATTCGAGTATAAAAGTATAAATTATTCTCTGTTGGTTCTTTTCCACTTTTCTAAGCCTACCCTTTTCCTTTCTCTCTTTTTCTCTCTCTTACCGTTCGTCGGAAAACCGCCTCCCTCCGCCCGGAAACAGCTCTTTCTCCGGTGAATAAAGTCACTGATTCGCCGGAAACCATTAATCTCTCTAGTATTAGTAATTTCCAGCAATACTTTAAGCATTTCTTCTCGTGACTCGGATATTGATCTCCGAGTTTGACTCTTTCCGGTGGAGTACGTGGCGCGTTATGAGAATGTGGTGTGTTTAGTTGCCCTTTGATGCTTTGGTTTGATGAAGATCGTGATCTAGGGTTAGGTATTTACGGATTTTGCGTTTTTTTTTTCATTGTTCTTTGGATTGTTTCGTTTGGTGAATTGCGACAAAACGGTGGCGTGCACAGAACCATTGCGGAATGAGATGGTACGTGAATTCTTTTGTTGAGTTCTTTCTAATTTTCTTTTATTTTTATTTATATTTTCAATCGATTTTTCACGGTTTTATTACCCTGTCGTTGTACGGATCTTAACTTTTTTCCATAAAATCTGGTTTCCCAGATTTGTTCTACATCTTTACAAAAAAAAAAAAGAAGAAGAGGAAATTAATTTTTGAAATCTAGAAAAAGAATTTTCATCAATGATTATATATAGTGCTTCATGCATTTGGAGCAGATGGATTTTGGTTAACAGTTTTTTTAATCACTCATTTTAAAATTACAACTTAAATTTTACAGACTTTATTTCTGATATTTCTATGGAGGGCTTTTGCGTGGAGATGAGGGATGCTTCATTTTTCTACTAATAAAACAATTTACATGTCTGTTTGTTGAATTTCATTGTTGAGGTAGAGTTTATTTTGACTACGTTTTTAAATTTCGTGGATAAGATTAAAGTTATTTAATGAATTTCATTTTATTTTTTACTATTTTTATTTAAAAGTTGATCTGGTAATAATACCGAGTATTGTTGTTGAAATTGTCTGGTTTTTGACTTAAGATTCAACATGGGTTTCTGAAATTTCTCAAATTTTGACATTATATTTACGGCATATTTGATGTACGATGAATTCAATTGGTCGGTAACCTTTGACTCAAGATTTTAATGGAAAGTTTGGGGACGTAAATTTAATCTTCTTGGGCCATTGATTTGAGTTAGATTGAGTCAGCCATCTGTCTTCTGTATGCTTTAGAAATTATCCTGGGTAAGATTGGTGTCGGCTTTTTGGTTTCACATTCTCATTTTTACATTGATTACTGGATGGAGAGTCTAGTCTAGTGATGGTGATTGAAAGATGGCTGTAGATGCTTTCCCATTAACTTTTATTGTGCTCTAGTTTGTTCTTATATGCATGGATCGGATTTATCCTTTGCATCTTAATTTTCTTACCTGATTTTTTTACTCTGATTTTTAATGATCTTTGATTATTTGACTAGAATAGGCTTTTTATTTTTATTTATTTTTGGCAGAGAATGGTGCAAATGAAATACCAGAAGTATTGACAAAATTTGTTCTGTTAAGAGCGATGTTGAAATTATGCTTTCCATGAGTCTAGGCGATAGTAGTTAATTTCCATCAGAGGTTGAACTAATATATAACTATAACTTACTGAAAACTTTGTAAATTAATGTGTTGGCTGTGTACATTTAGTGTGGTATGAATGTTATAGCTGCATGGACAAGTACGGAGGTCACTTGGATGCTGATACATTTGACAAGTAGAAGTATTTAACTTTGTATGTAGGGAATGTTGAGGCTGCTTTTGTATTGTCATTGGATGTTTCTCAAATCTGCTTCTATCTTTGTTTCTATATACTGATATATGATTTTTTAAATTTGTTTCTCTACTTCTTTTGGTAGGTGGAAGGAAGGGCGTGTTTGCCTAAAGAGGTAAGAAATGGGTTGGAGTTATTGAAGCGTAAAAGGCTTCAACGAATAAAATCAGAAACTCTCTCTGGGACATCTGGTGTCACAAATATGATGGCTAGAAGTGGGGGAGATGCTTTGAGAGTTTCAGCATCATGTGGAATGAGGTTACAAGGGAATGCAGAATCATTTTCTAGGTCAAATGTTGCTTCAAGTGAGAAGACCATCTTTTCAAAGCGCAAGGTTGATAAGTTTGACACTAGTGATCTAGAATGGACTGATAAAATTCCAGAATGTCCTGTATACTGCCCTACAAAGGAAGAGTTTGAAGATCCTTTGGTTTATTTACAGAAGATAGCTCCTGAAGCTTCAAGATATGGTAAGACCTTCTGTGCTTTTAGCCTCTGTCTTTAACAAATTCAATGCTTTCCATCTCCAAATCCTAATACCAACTCCACCCCTTCTCCAACCCTGGTTAAGGGACTAGAAAATATAACCTTAAAGAAATGTAGAAATAGAGAAATATGACGGTTCATATCTATGTTTGATGTTTTCATTTGCATTTTTCACTAGACATTGATGCCTATGACTTTTTGTTTGGTAGGCTTTTTGTTAAATATTGTTTTTCAAGGGACTGAATGAATTTATGAAGTGAAGGCTAAACATCTGTAGTAGAAATAAAAAGCTCTGAATGCTGTTTCAATTTTATGGTACTACTTGTCTTCACTGCTACACATATATTATAAAGGTTTTCTTATTAGTTGCAATAATAACTTTTGGTTTTCATGTCTTGCACAAATTAGAAGGATGGGAATAAATGAATCTATTTTGAATTAATTATCAGGCCCAAATGTTTGAACATTATTTATGGAAGAATGGTAACTTCTTGGGCACACCTGTACAAAGAAATTGGTCTTTCCAAACAGCTGTATGGGACCTAGTTTTACTTTTATTTTATCTGATATTATACAACCAACTAAAGAAGGGATATACTTGTTTGGATGTTGAAGGAAATTTTTAAAAAACGCCTCTTTAGCTTTTTTTTTTTTTGATAAGTAAATGCTGAAGCATTTTGAATATTTTCTCCTTAATTCGAAGGAATATGCAAAATCATTTCCCCTTTAAGTGCTACTGTTCCTGCTGGAGTCGTATTGATGAAGGAAAAAGTAGGATTCAAGTTCACAACTAGAATACAGCCTCTTCGTCTTGCTGAGTGGGATACCGATGACAGAGTAACCTTTTTCATGAGTGGAAGGTGAGCTCTCACTTGAAACAAATGTTGTTTTGTGCCTTGAGTATTTTTCTGGTTTTGAATGTGAGCATTTCTTTCAGAAATTATACATTTCGTGATTTCGAGAAAATGGCGAACAAGGTGTTTGCTCAGAGATATTTTAGTGCTGGTTGTCTTCCTGCAACATACATGGAAAAAGAATTTTGGCACGAAATTGCTTGTGGGAAGACAGAAAGTGTTGAATATGCTTGTGATGTTGAGGGTAGTGCCTTTTCTTCTTCTCCCAGTGACCCGCTTGGAACTAGCAAATGGAATTTGAAGGTGTTGAATTCAGTACTATCATCTCTTTAGTTTTTTTATTTATTTTTAAATGTTTTCTTGTAGAGGCCTGTTTGCTTAATTTTACAATGATAGTAAAATTTTAGAAAAGAAAAGTAACATTGCTATTTTGTTGCATTGCTGATTGATCTCATTCTTGGGTCATTTTATTTCAGATTCATGTATTTTGTTGTAGATTTATGGTTGAGAGGCTAATCTTCTTTGCTCTCTTTTGATCCTTTATAAACTCTCTGCTTCATAAAGTGTAACAAGTCTAGATGTTTATATGAGTTGGCATGAAATCAAAGCCCCAGTGGTGGTTGGCACTACAAGTTATACTTGTGCCTCAGGATTAGTCATTGTTGTTGATCTCTTTTCCTGCCAAAGAGTTCGCCAAAGAGATTATCTCCTGTCAATAAGACTGGTCGTTTTTTCAGATGTGGTCTTAAAACTGAAGCCTAAGAGACACTATCCAGTTAGAATGATTGTATACCTTAATATATGGTCTTAAAGAGATAGATTATGTCAGCCTTAACAGTCACTATGGTAGTGGAATAAATCATGTCCTCTCCTGTCTAACTAATAGGGGCTTTAGAGGATCTGCGGCTGTAGGGAAGCAATGTCCCCAACAGCATAGACACGCCTTGATTTAGTAATCTCTTAAATGGTTCCTGCTGCAAATTGGTTCCATGAGGGTCCGACAGGGTTGATGCCTCTTTATTCAATCACATAGTTGTCAAGGTTTGTTAAACCTGGGGAAGTAACTGTTATATTATTATTTATCAATAGTATATGGATAAAGGATGTAGCATTCCCAGAATTCTCTTGAAATTTAGTAACTTCAAGGTTGATATTGAGGAAGCAATTTGATTCTAATCCTATTATGATTGGCTCTATCCCTGTTCTGGATTCTGGTTTAACTCTTTTTGTTTGATTTCAGAAAGTCTCAGTTATATTATTATTATTATTATTATTATTATTATTATTATTATTTGTCAATATTATATGGATAAAGTAAGGATGTAGCATTTCCAGAATTCTCGTGAAATTTAGTAACTTCAAGGTTGATTTGAATTGAGGAAACAATTTGATTCTAAAACTGTTATGATTGGCTCTATCCCTGTTCTGGATTCTGGTTCACTTGGTTTTTATATGCTTCTCTTTGGTTGATTTCAGAAACTCTCACGGCTGCCAATGTCCATTTTGCATCTTCTGGAAACAGCAATTCCGGTATCGAAAATTGAAATTATCCAAATCTCAATTTTGGCTCTCTATACATACAGATAATTGATCTGCTCACATGTATGGTCCTTCTATTCTTTGAACTGATGTTTGTTTCAGGGAGTAACCGACCCTATGCTTTACATAGGAATGCTATTTAGTATGTTTGCTTGGCATGTGGAGGATCATTATTTGTATAGGTAAATGTTATCAAACATTAAATTCTTTTTCAGTTATTTACTTTCTTAATATTCTGTAATTAATCCTTTTCTTCTTTTGTGGCAGCATTAATTATCATCACTGTGGGGCTTCAAAAACTTGGTATGGCATACCTGGTCATGCTGCTCTAAAATTTGAGAAGGTTGTCAAGGAACATGTGTACACTAAAGATATCCTATCAGCGGATGGTGAAGATGGGGCTTTTGATGTGCTTTTGGGTAAAACGACGTTATTTCCTCCAAATATTTTGTTGGAACATGATGTCCCTGTTTACAAGGCTGTGCAGAAACCTGGAGAGTTTGTAATTACCTTTCCGAGAGCATATCATGCTGGATTCAGTCATGGTAAGGCATATTTACTTTATTTGTTCTTCCTCTGCTCTTGCAGAATTTGATGAATATGTTTTTAATTGTAATCATTTAGGTTTCAACTGCGGTGAGGCTGTGAATTTTGCTATTGGTGATTGGTTTCCTTTGGGGGCTGTAGCAAGCTTGCAATATGCACATCTCAACAGGGTGCCTCTCCTTCCTCACGAGGAACTTCTGTGCAAAGAAGCTATGCATCTCAATACAAGTTTAGAACTGGAAGATTTGGATTTTTCCCCAGCAGACTTGGCCTCTCATTATTGCATTAAGGTTTCATTTGTAAAGCTGATACGTTTCCTGCACCGGGCGCGTTGGTCTGTCATGAAATCAAGGGCATGCACCAGTGTATCTCCAAATTATTATAGAACTATTATCTGCACTTTATGCAAACGTGACTGTTATGTTGCTTTTGTTAACTGCAGTTGTTACTCTCATCCTATTTGCCTGCGACATGGTAATCTTTCTCAGATCCTGCTTTATTTTGGTAATTTCCCTTTGATATGTAATTTTGTCTTATGATGAACCTGGTCGCCATGTGCAGATATTAAGTCACTTGACTTCCCATGTGGGAGCCATCATGTTCTTTTCTTGAGGGATGATGTTGGAGAGATGGAAGCTGCTGCCGAGAAGTTTGAGCATGATGATGCCATATCAAAAGAGGTTGAGCGACAAGCTGAAAATGTCTATGACTTGTATTCATACCCAATGTCAAGTAAGTCCCAGACTGATGTAGAGGATGGATACTTCCCATATTGTGATATTAATGTTGTTTTGAATCCTGAGATTGCTGCAATAACTACAAATATGGGTCAACCAGTAGAAGATAGACATCCTCCAATGAGGCACAACACTGGAAATTTTCGACCAGAACTGACGGATGCTTTCTCTTCTTTTGCCACATCAACTCTCTGTTCTTTTGTGGAGCAAGTCGGATCCTCACCCAAAAATGTATGATCCAGCTCTACCGGCTGCCACATGGATTATTGTAATGTTTATGTCTCTGTTTGAGCTACTGCTCCTGCACTAATTTAACGTTTGGTATTTGTATATTTCAAAGCAGGTACAGGGGTTAGCTAACCTAGGAAACACTAATGGTAAAAGGTTCTCTGAAGAAGTCTCAGAAAATACATATGAATCATCTGTATCCTGTTTGTCACATGCAAATTGTCCAGGTATCCATCAGAATAATGTTCATGAACCAGTGACTAGGTCTATAGTGGACCAAGACTGTGATAGTTCCGATTCAGAGATATTTAGGGTTAAACGACGTTCTTTTGTGAAGGTTGAGAAAAGAAATGGGAATGACACCATGTCATCAAAGAGATCCGAACACCAGGTATAATTATAGCATTCCAAAGTTAATTTCTTATGTTTTATTATAAAATTGCCAACTTAATTTTCAGGGTGCCTTTTCTTCCTAAAAAAAAAGAAAACTATTTATTAGGGTCTGAAGTTGAAATTCATTAAATGGGATTCATTCATGCAATTTCTACAAGTTATTTGACCATATGAAGAATCTTCTTTTACCTTTAACTTTTGACTTCTCATCGTCAGGTAATTTGCCCATGGAAATTCAAGTTGCGGTCCTAATGTTTAATCATTGCGCTAATATTAGCTGTTCATAATAGTTTTTGGGGTAATATTTGCCTTTTGGGAAGTGTTTTGACTTTACAATATTTGTAGTGTATGAGAGAATTGAACTTAGATTCGTTTGTGACAATCATGATCTTTGTTTTATATATATATATATATATATATATATATAGAGAGAGAGAGAGAGAGAGAGAGAGAAATACTTTCCTGAGGAAAAGATAGAGTGCAATATTTTCATATTTTGCTGTTGTGCTTTAATTTGCCCTTTTTGCTGATTAAAAAAAAATAGTCTTTACTTTGCCAGTTTCTTCTCTGTTGGGTAATCGTTGTTCATGGCTTGGCCCCTCTTATATAGATTTACTTTACAATAAGCATCTCATCACTCATTTGCTTTTACCCTCTAGTGAGTCTGGTGAGGCTTGTTAGCGGATGACAAACTAACTTTTGATTCGGTAATAATTAGTTACGGCTGTTGAATATGATTCCATCATTATAGTGATTGTCTTCAATTTGACAATTGTGTCATCATATTTTATTTTGCATTCATTTCTTGCCTTATTCACATTCAGTCCTTTCATTTCTTTCATGGGAGAGTTGTTTTGTCCTCATGCTTTTGTTCATTTGACAGGGGCTCAAAAGATTAAAGAAACTCCAACATGAAGCAAGATGTGCGCAATCAGTGCCATCTGAATGCTTTAGAAATGAACCAAATAGCAATATTAATCGCACTTCTGATTGTAAAGAAGCTTCAGAGAATGCTGTGAAGGACAGATTTGGAAGAGGCATCCTGCCCATTTCTATCAAGTATAAGAAGTTGGGCAATGATGAAGCAACGAGTAGGCATCGAGAGCTCTACAGAAATGATAGGATCCGGCACGAGTTAGGAAAGAGCATGACGGAACCTCCTTCTTTAGAGGTTGGTCCAAAGCGACTTAAAGTCAGAGGCCCAACACATCTAGGTTCAGAAAGCAGACTGAATTGAAGTTATAGATGTGCAGAAACTGATGGTTGGGTTGCCTCTGGAGCATCCTCTGGAGCCTGACTTTGCTAACTTCATTCCCTCTAATGGAGTTCTAACAACACCGAAATTCCAAACGATTGATTCTCAGGGAGTAGCAGCGAAGATTAACCAAGCGTAGGACAAATTTTTATTCTTTGTGCAGTCCTCAACACCAGGGCAAATTGCACGTGGAGTGATTCTTGTGGTTCTCAGGCCGGGGTGTTTTTCCGTCTTTGGCTGGAGAACCTTCGTGCAAAAGCTGAAAAGTAGAATTTGGGTTAGTTACTTTTGTAAATTTGTTTCCATCAGTCAAAATTAATTCTTAGAGAGGAACGTGGGCATTCCCATTGTTTCCTCAAATTTAAAAATCTGCCGCTTCCCATTTTAGGTACGTTATTCTTTTTGTAGCAATGTATACTGCTTAAATAAAATGCAGAGAAATGCCCATTTTATCTCTCAAATCTTTTCCTTAACCTCGAATATATTCCATTCTTCTCTGATATTATTGGAGTTATTCACTAATTAATGCGAATGAAATGTCTAATTCATTGGTTGCTCTTTGTTATCGGACAACTCGTAGATGTAACTCTTGAGAACGATCTTCGTCTTGCAATATAGGATTGTGGGGCAACTCTAAACTGGAAACAAAATTGCCCCACTTGGCAGTTGCTGCAACTTGCAATGTAGGATGGGCCTGCAAAGTTAGTATTAAGCTAGGGGGCAGAAGCCAGCAACGCCTTTTTTTTTTCTTTTTTTTTTTCTGTAGTTGTTTGGAAAATAGTGGGAACTGGGACGCAAAAGGGCTACATATGAGCGTGTTGTTAGTTTTCCTGGGGTCATGAAATGGGCCTCTTCTGTTGCATCTGTATCGAAGCAATTACGGCAATGCTAGGGTCCTCCAGGGACCACCGTCCTGTTTCCATAAGTAGTCCATCTCTAGCATGTTCCGAGAATGCCATGGTTGCCACATTCCTTTTCATCCTATCTAGAAGATAATCGGACATTGTTTGTTCCATTCCTTCATGACGTTCAGATTTCTGCTATTGTTTTGCTTTCCAATGTTTCTAATTGTTCTTTTAAGTGATTTTTGTCGTCGACGCCAAGGTAAGTTGGCAATGTCCACGATTTTTTAAAATTTAGTTGAAGTGTTATTGGGATTTAAACCTGTTGATTGATGTGAATACAAATTGAGGTGAAGGGGCCACGGAGCTCTTGGCTTGGGTTATTTATTCCATCTTTATTTGTTGCAGTTGCAGATATAAGTTCTGTTGGTATGGTATATTGGATATTTGAATATGCCAACGCAAATTGTTCATGTAAAATTCTGTGGTTTAAAAAAAAAAAAAAGGCTCGGGCGGCTTTAGTTTAGGTCAAGAAACCTTTCAGATATAGTTTAGAGAGCTAGGGTTGCGGTTGGGCCATTTTAGATATCGAATTGTTTCAGCTCTTGGATCCTTTGGGTTTACAAGTTATATTTTGCCCCATTTTCCAGTTCCAGGTTACGGTACCCATGAACTAAATCCCACTTTTGCTACTGCCTAAAAGCGTTTTTCTTCAGACGAAGATGGATAAAAATTGTACCCAAAGAAAAGAAAAGGGAAAATTTTTTGAAGAAAACTAAGAATTCAGTATCATCAATCATTTAAAATTTTCTTCATTTCCAAAATCCTCGTTATATGATTGTCTTTATTCAACTATATTCTGAGATAGTCAGATCTCAGAACTAAAATATTCTCCGCCAACCCTCGAACACAACAGCAAATCTCCTTTACATTTCTTTCTTGCTTGTTCTTTTGCCTCAAACATGACAGCAACCTCAACAATTAATGGGCCCTGCTATCCACTACTCCAAATTTATGTCCAAAACAAGTCAATGAAAACCATTTTCAACCCACACAATCAGAGTTAAGCCATGGAATTTAGAGCCCAGTTCCAACACCTTGCACTTCTCTCACAATACCCAAAACATCAGTAAAAACAAATCAGAAACTGCTTCATTTTTTCACCTAGTGGAAGATGTAACATTTAATTGGTAACTTCATCAATTCTATCCCAACAAACTTGGGTGCCATGCCCCAATATAGTGTCATTGTCAAAGTACTGCTTTCACTCAAATTGGCAACACATCAATTCGATATTATTTCCACAACTGTTCCTCCCCTAAAACTATGTTTCACTCCCATAACTTTTTAGCTTTTTAGCTACTTGGAAATGAAAATTAATAATTATTATTATTATTTTTAGAGTAACCTATATATTTAAGTGAAAATGTTACTGAATTGTTATATCTTAGGGTGTACATATTAGCTAATTAGGTACAAGACCCAATACTATTTTTTATGTATAGAGGATGGATGGGCAAAGAGTACTCAACAGCTTTAACTGCAAGCTTAAATTATTGTTAATATAAGTAATTTGCATGATCAGCTTCTAGAGGAAACACCTGAATCCTTTAGTCAGGTTTTCTGAGTTTATGTATTTGACCAAGCAACATTATTGTGGTGAGACTGAGGTAGGAGAGGGGATACCCATTGCCTATAGGGCAATTTGGTCCCCCTCCAAGTTCATAAATCATCAAATTTATGAATTTCAATTGATATTAATCTTGAAGGAGCCTTTTCAAATATAATTATAGTAATAGGGTATGAAGGAAATGAAAGAAAAGGTTGAATATATAAGCATAGGGCAAAGAGTTCCTATTAGGTGGGAGCCTACATCCTTTATTTTTTAACTTGACCTCCCCAAAAGGAGCACCATATTCCATTGTGATCGGATTGAGTGAGTCTTAAGGTTTGTGGGACCATTCCCCCCATCTCTTATTAATCATTTCCACCTTTATTTGAAGAGAATAAAATTGTGGAATGCAAAGAAAGTGAAACCAAAGAAAAACTCATATGAAATGAGGACCAAAAAAAAAAAATGTTAATGGGTTCTTGTCAAAATCTACAAATTTCTTTCAATCACTAGTCTATCTAGATTTGTAGGGCACTTATCTAAGCTACCCTTTTGCTCCAAGTCGTTGGAAAAGATTCAAAATGTTTCCATTTTTTGTTTAATTTTTTTGTTTATTTTTATTTCGTTGCAATTAGGATCCTATACTTGTTGCTAGCTTCTACTCAATTAGAGAAAAAGGAGTTGCTTACTACTTTAAGTCTTGTTTTGTGGGTTTGATTAAGGGAAATATCTTCTTTTTAAAGTGAGGTCAAGTTCCTTGAGAATATTGTGTTTCTTATAAGCAGGAAAGAACCACACGCCATCATTTCTCCTTTGAGCTCCTTTAATTAAAACTCCTTTTTATTATTAGGGAATATTAATTGTTCAAATCTTCCACTAATTATACTTTCAAGAGGTATCATCCCAAACCTTTCCTTATAAAGTTGCCAGCTACTCATGAATAAGCTGAATGATTTAAGTTTATATATAAATAAAGAATCAACTTACACGGTATAAAATAAAAAAAAAAAAATTACATATTTTTTAACCACTGATTTAAATAAAATTAATAGACGAGAGAGATAAATAAAATATAATAAAAAATAATTTAATATCATTTCTTGAATATATTGAAATAATCGTATTTTACTTTTTATGATATTTCCGACGGTAGTTTCTAATCAATTCGGCTGTGAATGAAAGCAGATTTGAAAAGATTCAGAGCTTAACTAGGAGAATCCAAGAATTTTAATTAGTACACAAAGTTGTTAATTCATAATTGATTGGTGCTAATAGATGAGAGGGAGAGTAACTCTTAATTGATGAAAAAGTAAATTAAAAATTAAAGACTCTATATTAATTAGAAATAGAATCTAAAAATGGCCACTATCATATCTTCAAATGCTTTTTCCTCGTATCATATCTAAACCGAAATAAATAAGTCATTAATAAATCAATAAATTAAGAGGTACAAGAATCTAAATCAAGGCTATCTGAGTCACACAATCAATATTTAGAAAAGTTATTGGCCTCTAAAGGAAAAAAGTTTTCTCAAGTTCCTCCTGTTTTTTTTTTTTTTTCTTAATTTATATGTACATAAAAACGAAGAACATATGCTAGTGGAAATTAAGCTCCACTGTCTTCAGTAAAATTTGGAACAAAATCTAATTGTAATATAATTAATTAAACCATACATTGAGTTAGGTTTTGCAGAAAAACAATTAAAAAATCCTGATCGATATACTAAGAGAAAGAGGAATGTCACTTGTCGATGAAAAGAGTATGTCGGATGAATATTTGACCATAAAATCATATGCTTGTGTTTGTGTGAGATAATTCTCTCAAATTACATAGTATAAAACTAAAAAATTTATATTTTTTTTCTAACCCTGATTTTAATATATATATATATATATCATTATTATTTTGATTTTAGTTTCATAAGATCAACTTCATTAATGTAAAGACGTGATGTGAAGTTGAAACTAGACCTGTTACCTGATCGTACTAAGGCTGGGAGTTGAGCAAGGTTTTTGAAGCTCGGGTATGAAGTTTGAGACATTATTTAATAAATAAAAATATTTTTATTTAATTTTAATTTTAAAATACATTTAAAATATCAGAATATTTAATATTTTAATATATATTTTAAAATTTTCAAGTTTATTATGTTTAATAAATCGAATCAAATCTTGAGAAAAGATTTTCAAAGATCAACTTACTAACCGGGTTCATAAACACCTCTAATTGAAACTTTGATCTCAGTTTTCCAAAACCTATGACCAATAATGATCAAGAACTAGATTTTATTGATTAAGGCAGGCCCGATATTTATTATCTTTCAATCAATTCCTAATCTAATAGTCTAATTCTCAACTTTGCTATACCTTTTTTTTTTTTGCATATCTAATCTATCATTCCATGAGTTGATTACAGCTAGAGTCTCCTAATTAACCATTTCCTTCAACAAAATAGAGGAAAGAAAGAATCCGTTTTGTCAATTGAGAAGTGAAAGTATTTAATTAATTCCCCAAACAAGACTTCAGCAGTGAATTCCATATACTCTTTCTCTTTTCCTTGTGTTCACAAGAATAATGTCTTAAGTTAAGCCAATTGTTTTGACAAAGCAGTTTATCAAACTTCCTTCAACACTTGGGATTTTGCCTTTTTGAAAAATTTAGGATGCCAAAGGGAAACATGTTGACCCATTTCCAATTTTCAATGAAAAATATTGTCCAAAAAACAGTGATATCTTTTTTTAAAAAAAATATTGGTACGATTATTTTTCAGTTTCACACCTTCCTCTATGATTAATCTAAACTATTCTTCGTCAAGTCCCATTGGTCTCAATCAATTCATACATTCTGAGTCATCATTAACTAGATATCACGTGATATTTTCATTCATTGACAAGTCAATATTATGCACAAATACTTAATTATTTAGAGTGATCGATGATTTTATAAATGACATTAGGAGATCCCCACACCAATAGTTTAGTAGGCCATATTTTCAGCCATTGGGTTCGAAGATCTTGAGACATATGTTGCATATCAAGTTGCTGTGTTTTGTCAAATTTTGATATAACTTAAGAGATATAATCATTGACTATTGCCTAATATTGGATTGGGTGAATGTTACTTAAGTTGAAGCTTAAGAATAGGCATTGATTGAAGTAAATAGATATGTTAATGATAGATAAATATGTTTCTTTCACCTTTACTCATCAGTTTAAGTATTTAAATCAATGATTCTCCAACATACAAGGGCTTATGGTTCAAATCTGTTATCTTTGTCAAATCCTGATACAAAGCGTTGTTAACATGATTTTGTTTGCATCACGTGTTAAGTAGTGTTGTCGAGGCTTTGATACCTCTTCTTGTCAATAGATACTAGCTAGAACATATATATAGTATAATTGATGTCATCTTTTTGTGATTTAGGTCCATGACAAGAGGGTAAAGTTGAGGTGATAATGTGTTTGCATGTGAAGAAACATGTCAAGATTATTAATACATGTAATTTAGTGAGATTGGTAGAATTCCTAGATAAATTCAGATTAATACAAGTTAAGATGAATAATTCAGACTTGACTTAACGGTTTTTATTTGTTTTTAGCATATAAGTTTAAGTTTTGAATCTTGCTATTTTTTTAATTTCCTCAAGATGTATACAGTAAAAAAATACAATATGAAATGAAGAGCGTAGAGATTCAAAAGTACAAGTTTTAGGTTAACAACTATGTGATTTGTTGATAGAATATTAA